GTCTCTTACGCCCTTGGCCGCGAACGATAATGTACCCCCTAGGGCTCAACCCGCAGTACCCTTGTCCGGAAAGTGGCAATGGATATCACCAGTGCCCAATGAGTGGATCAAAATGAGGTCAAAATGAAAAGGTTTACTCATGTCTGCCTGAGAACATTTACGACTTTGCAGCATCGACTTGTGAAACGAATGGCATAGAACTTTTTGAGCCTGCACGCTCGCAATATCCGGAGCAAAAATGGGCGATGGTCGGGGTTACAGGTTCCATAAAAACTGAACTGTGTTGACCGCTGCAGATCACGCCAGGTACTGGGGGCCGGGTGTGCGAGAACGACTGTCGTTTAAATTGTGCTTCCGGAACTCTTTAAAGTCAATTCATGCCGTTCAAGATTGCACTAGGGCGCGTATTTCATCATTCAAGTTGTGAGGCTGTCCTCTGAACAGATTGACAGCCACAACACGAAAAATGCATGTTTTACCACTACCCTTTCCAGCCCCTACCACTAGATTTCAGCACTAGTTTGCCGCGCTGTGAAGATTTCCGATCCTATTATAGATCAGATAATCGCACAGGTGAAACATGCCATCGAACTGCCGTACAAGTTGACGAAAGTGGCGAGCCGTACGAGTTAAAACGTACGAGTTGAAACGCACGAGTTGATGTCCTACAGCTTTCGAAGATACGTATTTCAGTTTCGCCATCATTGTCGTTCGCTCGTTGACCTCCGTCTAGTGCTTGCCTAGTACTTGCGAGTGCACATATCCAGAATTATCTTATGATTTTCATCACTCATCTGATCCTGACGGGGATTGATCATTCTCCACACGAGCATGGGTCGACCACGTTAGCAAAAGGTGTGGCCCCCATCTCTATCTACAGTCTGTGTTCACGGTGTCTCCGTAGAACCCAGAAAAAAAATAATGGCGAGGACTCTGAGCTCTATCGGCTTAGAAAGAGTCCATGTTAAATGAAGACGCCGGTGGTTTATTTTATGTAGTCATTTAACGCCCGCATCTTCAGGTATTTTCTGGCTCCATTAAAAAAAGAAAAAAGAAGAACATTATGCACCCTCGAAATCAAGAAGGCCAAATTCAGCGATTTTGTCTTCAGGGAGGGGGGAAGCTGTCATCACGGAGCCCTTTGTCAAACTACGTGTTCCTCTACCTGGTACAACCATAAGTAAAGAAAAAGGAAGCCAGGTGATACACACGACTGTCAAATGATTCATGACATTCCAGCGATTGTCCGTGCGTGGGGTGGGGTTGTCTCCACCGGGAGGAGCCTCCACAGGACAAAAAGTAACGAACTTCCTCGGGTTAGTTAGCGACGCCTCCATATTCGAATTCATGTTCAAATGCACCAAAAAACGCGGTCACGCATAACTCAGTCATCAATGCATGCAATCAAATCTGTAGATAGCCGCGCGCTCACCCCGCTGTTAGATATATGCATCCTTAGCAGCCTGACCCGTAGGAACCATCGTATAGCCTCCAGGAATTTCAAATAAAAAACGCGGTCACGCATTACTCGATGCACCGAATCCCAATACGAAAACGGCTACGTGCTCACCATGGCGTCAGGTATATGCAACTTTAGGATTCGAGGCCTTATTGACTGAGTATACCTGACTGCATGTTTGACCCCTAATTGCGCGGAAGCTCTTCAGTGACCTTAAAAAGAAGCGTTGCCAAAGTTGCATATGCCTTTACGCCATGGCCAGCCTGTGGTTGGTCTACAAGTTGTATTTAGGTGCATTGCAAATGGAATAATCTGTGACCACAATTTACCCGTCCCTCCCCCCTCAATTGCCTGGAGTCTATACGCTGATTTTCAAAAATTTCATTGCAAAAATCCGACGTCGTGGTGAACAGTGGTGGTTGTTTAGACTTTGATTCGATGCATCATTGTCGGAGTAAGTGTGTGACCATGTGTTTTCCGCTTATTATCTGGAGATTATAAGGAGACCTTTACAGGGCAGGTTGCCAAGTATGCGCATAGCTGACGTCATGGTCAGCACGTGGCAGCTTCCAGATTAGGATCCTGTCTGACATTGACGGGAAGGGGGGGGGGGGCCGCAACTCGTTTTTACCCCTAATTGTCCGGGGCGACACGGTGGAATTGAGAGGGTAGGCTGCTAAACGTCCACATACTGGACGAGATGGAGGGCACACGACCGTTTCCAGACATGGATTCCATGCGTTGCCGACGGGGTGGCGCATTATCGCGTTTTTACCCGTATTACTTCTGACCCCACCCCAATTTTCTGCAGGTTTTATGGTGGCCTTTAAAGGCTGATGTTGCCAAAGGTGCCTATGCTTGACGTCGTGGCAAGCACGTGGCCGTCTACAGATGTGGTTTTGATGCGTGATTGAGAGAAGCAGCGCGTGACCGCGTGTTTTGCTCCCAGTTACTTGGAGGCTACACAATTTTTTTAAATATTGTTTTATAGATTTGATTCAGACCCTTTTAATGGATGGATATCTGGATCAGCGCTCATGCTAAGCAGTGCTTGTTGTGTGAGCCCTGACCCCCACCATCCGATCGCGCAATTCTAGGCAGCGGCAGAATTTAGTGGCGAGAGCTTAACGTGCCGCAATGCTCGGCGCGGTCGGCCGCAGTGCTGCCCTCTGACGTCAGTTGACCTTTAGCGCGACCGCTGCCACCGGCCGCAGGCCATACCTGTCAAGGACAAATAGTGAGCACCCTAAAGCGACTCAAACCTACCCTGTCACGGATGGGCGGATCGGAACGCAGACGCTCTAATGACTGAGCCACCGGAACGGACAATGGTCTTCGGAGGTCTGGTTGCCGGTTGCGCATATACCCGGTGTCGTGGCGAGGATGTTGAGCGTCTTCATATTTAAGATTCGATGCGTAAGTCACGGGGAAATGCGTGACTGCGTTTATTGCCCCAACTTGCCTAGAGACCCTAACGGTGACCATCAGATATCATGTTAGCAATGTTGTACATACCTCACGGCGTGGCGCGTGCGTGATCACTTGCAAATGTAGATGCATCATTGACAGAATAATGCGTGACCGCTATAATACTTATATATATATATATATATATCTATATATATATATATATATATATAATACAGCCAATCAGGGGTAACCTGAATGGCTGTGGGGTATACGGTGTCCTTCCGAGGTCTGGTCACCAAAAATACATATGCCTGACGCCATGCCGAGTACGTGGGTGCTGTTATATTTGGATGTGATGCTCCAATGATGAAGCAATGATGCGTGACTACGTATGGGGCCCCAAACTGCCGGGAGGCAATGCAGCGATCTTCAGAGCCCGGGTTCCCAAAAGTGGATGTACCTGCTCTCGTAACGAGCACGTGCAGCATGTGGATTTAGTTTCGATGTATGATCGATGGTGCAATGCGTAACTGCGTTCTTTTTTTAATCTTGATGGCTTGGAGGCTTTCCCGTGACCCTCAAAGCCAGATTCCTCAACGTGGTGTACTGCGCGGCATGGCTAGTTCGTAGCTTTGCGCATTGGATCTGATGCACCACTGATGCAGTGATACGTGACCCTGTGATTTTACCTTTGATTTCTTGGGGGCTGTACTGTGACATTTAGAGGTTAGGCTGGTGAAGATACATGCATCTGACGACATGGCAAGCAGGTGGACCTTTTCATATTTGGATTTGAATAGCTCATGACGCAATAATGTGTGGCCGCTTTTTAAGCCGTGGGCGCTTTATTGACATGTGCATATTTGTAGCTATAAACGCGTCAACTACATGGTTTTTTCCGTCGCATAACGATAAGGCTATGGAGGTTATGCGATAATTTTTAAAGACAGCTTACCAAAGTTGATACATCTGGGGTCGTGGTGAGCATAGGACCGCTGTCAGGTTAGAATTCGATGCGTTATGACGGAGTAATACGTGATCGTCTTGTATCCCTAATTTCTTGAGGTGTGTGCGGTGACCTTTAAAAATCAGGTTCCTTAAGGTGTAAGTCACGCATTGTACCCGACGACATGGCGAACTAGTCCCTATCTTCATATTCAAATTGCATGCATGAATGCCTAAGGTATGTGTGACCGTGGTCTCAGCGCGTACGAATATGAATCCCAATAGCAACACGTGGCCCACTACACGGACATCTCCAGTGCAATTTCATCGTCTGTATGGGTTATTCACAGACATGCAGGAGATGATAATATCAGCGATGTCACGGTTTCACGTTGTAAACCTTGCGTTCCCAATCAGCTATTAAAAGCCGGGATAGAATGACCCATGGGGTGAATCCATAAAATTCATGAACGTGTTATCCAATGTGTAACCCATCAGTGTTACAAGACAATTAGACGACTGCAGCATCGCCACGAATTACTGTTCTGGAAACGTCTGTCCAACCGTTTTTGTACCGCATCCAGCGGCAGGTGTTTCCAAATGGTGCCTTCTGACTGCCATCCCATACCATCCTGTGTATACATGCCTGCGTAAGTGATTTTCTTTTCCCCAGCTCTTTTGCTATCCGATAATTTGTTCGCAAGCATATGAGTTCTTGACTTGTTCTCGAGCACCCTAGTAGTCAGCTTAAAACAAGGAAACCACGGGCCCCTACATTTGGTGTGAACAGATTCTTTACGCACGCTGCCTTCCCTCCAGTCCGGTCCGGTCTTCCCTCCGGAAAAAATACGTGCACGATGTGTTTGGTCGAAATCTTGCTGAGCATCCAGCTTAACAATATGCACAAGGTAGCACAAATCATATGTGACTTCGTAATGCCTTCATTTGCAAATCGCCGTTAAAACCTGATTCGCTTGGCAAGCTGGGTCCTTGTCATAAACTCATACCGCGGCGAATGGCCTGCAGAGAATACAAACCACATCGGTCATTCGGCAGCCCTATGACGCGGGTACAGCTCGCCAATGTGAGGCCATCCGTCGGCGCGCACCGGTGATATGAGAACAATGGTGCGCCGTCGCAGGCGCTCAGTCACGTAAGTGGCGTGCACGGAGAGGAACCCTTCGACATGGAGCGCGACAAGGTAAGGTAAAAACCAGCACCATTACGATCTTGTCATGTTGCAGGCTCTCGGTGTTGGTTGTAAATGAAACGGACATTAAGTTCTTAGCGGCGTTGTTCGCTGGTCGTCTATGATGCGCTAACGATTGCCAGAAAGCGTTCCTGTGTTGCAGGACGTGGGCCGAGTAAGCGCTTGATCCTCTGCTTGCGATGTCTGTTAAGAAGTGACGCTTTGCTTAATTGTATGCGGGCCATTCGGCTGTTTGTTACGAAGCCCAATGTTTCGAACGTTGGACGTTGAATGTTTATAAACTCTTGTGCTCTTAAAGCATGGAAAAGTATCGCAGCGGGCGGCTCAGGATATGGTTTCAAACAAAAAGCCTCGGAAACTATGGGATACGCCGCCTACTATAACACTTTTAAATGTTGAAGGAAGGTCAGTACCTAAAATAAAACTTTTCATGTAACGTAGATGTTTCCTTTTTTGACAGAATATCGGGGACACCGCAGTAGGATCATCAGCAACTTAGAATGGAACTGAAATCTGAGGTCATTCTGTGACTCCCCAAACATAACCTTGAACGACCTTGCGCTTGCGGTCCGCATGCATTGCGTCCATATCGCACATTGCGCAGGGTCTATATATGTTTTTTTCAACGGGGTGCAGGGCGTAGCCTGGCATGACATTGACAATGAAAAGACCCTTGCGTCGCTACTACAAGGCGTGGTCTGACATGCCGTTTAAGTCGGAAAGTCCTGAAGTCGTTTCCGGCAATCCTTTTTTTAGGTATAACGTTCTACTGGGCTGTTTGGCGTTAGAAGAAGAATGTGATGTTCCCCCCCCCCCCCTCCCCATCAAACAGACATTGCTGAAGTTCGCTTATGGTTACCTAATCTCTTCAAGACTGGAGGGCAAAAAAGCATGTCTCTCTTTAAATCAGGAATTTAACGTGCTTTTTCCAATGATGCTATATGCCGGATGTTGACTTGACTCATCACCCACACTGGCTAGACCCTGCAAAGCAAAGAAGCTGAACGAATCATGGGGGTGTGCCGGCATGCCATTCTGGGCTTTCAACTGAAAGAACCGACTCGTCCTACCATTCGTCGCAATTTTGTGCGTGAGATTTCGGATAAAGAGCTGAGGTTTTATCCACGCAACGTAAAAAATGCATTCGTTTACGCGTAGTGTAATTTTCCATACATGCATTGAGTGCCATTGTTCCCTAGTTTAATCATGTTCTATGTTAACTGTGTCATGCATTACGCGGCACATGCTACCCGTGCCCAGACTAGTTTCCAATGATGATGCCACAATTCCTCTGAGTTCATCGCACGTTCGTTCCGCTCCACTGGTTGATCATCCTCCGTACAACAGTATTTAAGCAATGCTGCTAACTTGTTGCGACGTCTTTTTAAGCACGCTGGATTCAACGACAGGTCTAGATTTAACCCCCATTCCTTAATTAACGTGTGTGTTCGCTCGACTGATCTTGCGGTTTGTTTTACGTTTACACCGTTTCTGACGCTTCGGAGTCATTGTCAGCAAGGCACAAAATGAGCATTTATAAGCCTTGAACCTGGTAACTTTTGTTAACTTTGCGCGGCATCCGACCACAAAAATGTTAGAGATCAACGCAACACTACCAGTTCAAAACAGGCTTAAGTACGCTAAGCTCCCAGATCTCAGTGCAGTGCAGCATGCGAAACGCGACCCGACCCCCTTTTTATGTTCGCTTCCAACTATTCCCGTAACGGCATGTCATGCGCGACTTCACTTGCTTGTTGGGCGATGGCCAGGGAGCTTTCAAGCACAATGCCTCAGACACTGCGACTGTAAGACATCAATGTTCGTGACTCATGCCGTGCGCAGTGGTCCTGTCCTCGTTGCGGGTGAGTGGCCTTAGTGCTTTGTACACCTATACCTTGTCGCAGGGGCGGACCGATAATTCTTAAAGGAAATGTTCCACACCTGGAAATCTTGAAGTAAACATCAGGTATAATGGCACAAGCTCACATACAACTACTTGCGTATTGTTAAGTGAAACGAATGCTCTACAGGGTGCCCTCAATTCGTTTAGTAAATATGTCCCTCAATACGGCATTGTGTGATTGGGTCATCGCACCTGCCATAACATAGACTAAGAGCCCATTGGCGGTCGTTATATCTGGAAAGCATGCTCACGAACGCCAGATTTGAACGGCTACACCATTATATTTTTCTCGGCCTCGATCACTGCATAACTTATGGAGTGACAGGAATTGATGTTGATGATGAATGATGTTGGTATGGCGTCATGAACGCCAAGATGACTTTGAAATACTATCCCCTTAGAGTGTCCCCATTTTTGCGCGCGTATAGCTCAGAAACTTGAGGGTTTCAGGTATTAAGAATGGTAGCGCTGTGAACTGCACCGAAAGGTCTTCAAGATGACCATTTCGGGTCAAAACCCCATGGAAACGTGGAACACTAACGATTTTTGTTTGTGTGTGTAGGTATGTGTACTCGGACGTTTGACAGATGTCATCCACTGTTAGCATTGAAATAAAACAATAGCCGTGCACACATCAGGGAGGGAATTAAACATAATCCCAATGCTGAACGAATGCCGGCTGCAGTGAAAATCCTGCTTGCCCTACTGGCATGCTTTTAACCGATTTGTTGACAGATGCCAAGCGACATTCCAATCCTGCCTGCTCTCCTGATGTGTATCTGACCGATTTGTTAACAGATGCCGGATGTTGTCCAGATCCTGCTTGCTCTCCTGATGTTTATATGACCGATCTGTTAACAGATGCCGTGTGCCGTTCAGATCTTGTCATCTCTCCCAATGTATATTTGACCGATTGTTAACAGATGCCTGGCGCCGTTTTCGTCCTGTCTTCTCTCTTGATATGCATTTGACCGATCTGTTAACCGATGCCAGGCGCCGTTTTGATCCTGTCCTCCCTCCTGATGTGTGTGTGACCGATCTGCCAACAGATGCCCGGTGCTGTTTCCATCCTGTCTGCTCTGCTTTTGCTGATGGCCTCAGACGTCACTGCGGGCGACAGCACAAATCTAAGCGACGATGGCAGCCGTGCCACCGGCAACAACTACGGCTTCGGCCATAGATACGGCGACCGAACCGGCTTCAACAGGAGATACAACACCAACGCCGGCCACGGCGCCCACAGGGTCTACAGCAACAACAACGGCCACCGCGCCACCAACGGCTACAACGTCGACACGGCTACAGCTCCAACAGCGCCCACAGCGAGCACGCGTGTACGGCGGCGACCGCGGCGACTACACGGACCCGCACCCGCGCTACCGCTACCAGTTCCACGTGACCGACCCGCGCACCGGCGACTCCAAGTCGATGCACGAGCGGCGGGACGGCGGCGGCGTGGTTGGCGAGTACCGCGTGCTGGAGCCGAACGGCCTGGAGCGCATCGTGACGTACACGGCCGACGACCGGCACGGCTTCCGGGCACGGGTGCGCTGGGTGCCGGCCGGCGCTCGCGCCGCCGGTCCGGCCGTCTCGCACCAGGAGGTGACGCAGTTCCACTCGGACCCGGTGCCGGCGCCGGCCGGTCGGCCCCCGCCGCTGAGCCACCGAGTCGGGGCCCGGCCACGGTCCGTCCGCCCATCCGGGACAGTTAGACGGACGAGCGATCGTAGGTGCTCCCAAGTGCTTGAGTTTCGGTGAGAGTAAAGGTTTAACACGTGTGTTCGAGAACAGTCTGACAATTGTGTTCCGTGCCTTATTTTCGGTTGACTGCGCTCGTAGCCAGCTAAGCCTCCTGCACACGCTTGGGGAGCGCAGATGCCGTGTCGATCTTCATCGTGAGCACAATAAGCCTTCGAGTTGCTGTTTCCAGTTGTGTGCAGCGTGATATGCACTACAGGAGAGAATAGCGGCGGACCAAAGTCAGACGGACAATCCATCCCGAGCCACACCGGCATGACGCGACACCCACTGACCACAGCTGATCAGAAGGAATGGGGAGGGAACTCCTGCTAAGTCGGCAGACAGCGTTGTGGCGTTTTCAGGGCGGAAATGCTGCACTCTGATACGTCAACAGTCTGATTTGTAGGTAGACTTGCAGGGCTTAAAGATATCAAGAACATTGTTCAGATTTTGCAGGTTTGCAAAAAGCTTGCTTATCTTTGCATCAGTTTCCGGGACAATTGCCCGATAAAGCTTAAGGTCCGATAAACAGTACCAAGGAATATGCATGAATGGAAGCCTCGGTGAACAGCTTGCATCGAACCAACGCATGTATTTTCGTTTTTGAGCTCGCAATCCACTAAAAGAATCCTGCGCTCGGGATTAACGTGCTTGAATACAAACGTAAGTGTATGTGAGTGATGTCAAAATTTGTCGTGTGATATGGCGCCATAATGCTGAGATTTAAAGACCCGGTTTTTCGTTACAAATACAAAAAAAAGATCGGGAACCCAATGTCAGTTTCTTCTGCCTTCGGTTAACTTGTGTTGTAAAGCCATGTGTTTACGCACTGATCGTCCTGGATAATAGATAGACGCCGCTATGCCATAAAGTGTATATGATCTGACTCGCCAGTGCCGTGAATTGAATGCTGACACAGTGTATGGTTCGCCCGCCTCGAGCGTGTCGGAATACATGCGCAGCGCTTGGGCTTTATTATGCTGATGACAGGCGTGTTTATTTTAGCGCATTTTCTGCATCGCTTCGCCCTGGTTTTAAATGTCACTTTGTGCCTTATCTTGTTCACTCGTGACCATAAGCGCAGCTTGAAACATGGAGTTGTGTCATGTTAATCATTTGCCTGCTTGATAGCGCTTGTTTAACCAGTGCCTTCTGGTATAATGAAGGTCGATTACCGTCAGCATTAAAAACGCCCAACTCACAATGAGGCCAAGTGCAGTCAGGTATCCACAAAAACCTGCACTTGCGTGTATTGTGGATTCACACTTGCATTCAAGTTACACTAGTAATTTTAGTGTCACACACTCAGTTCAAAGACATTAGCTTCGCTACCAAGTTGTATCTGGTCGCGCTCAGCAATCAGTGGTGAGCTATGTGCACCAAATGTCGGCTTGTTGCGCTCATTACCGCCAACTCTGCATAGATACCACGTACGTTGCATGCAGAGGCCAGAAGGGACAAAGGTCCAAAGGGCAGCCGGCGCGTGCGGCATGCCATTGGGGCGAAGAGAGAACCGTTTTTGTGCAGTTTTGGCAGGTGGTAACGGCGACACAAACAATGTCATAACTTGGCGTTGTTGAATGCCAGCGAAAATAATGGTGGTATTTTGTGGACCGTTAAGCAATCCGTAATGAACAGTAGTGATCAGGACGCCGACGTGGCGGCAATCAGAAATGCTGGTTTTCGGCCATCGTACCGCGGCCTGACTCAGTCCGGTTACCAGCAATGCGTCAGCCATTGCCTAAACGCATTTATCTTGGGCGGGGCAGAGGTCTGGGGAAAAAGGGACCAGAGCCGACACCAGTCAAGTTTGCTGCAGATCTCTAAACGACCTGTTTCACTGCCGCTCCTAGACGCAGTCTGGAGATGCATTGAACAATAGCTAACGGTTGTCACAGCAGTCGCATTTTCCTTCGTCGAAACATGAGACGACCACTGTTCGAGAACCGTCGGCTTTAATGAGGGATGGAGAGAATGTTGTCAGGCGGCATTTGCAGCGCAGCTGCAGCTGTCAGTATGCCTTCGGATCAGCCAGCTGCACGAACGAGCCGCACAGCCGGCTTCTGTTATCCCGACCACAGCGCTTGACGGCATTTGAGTTCCCAGTGCGGCCACGCCCACGTAAGTTCGTGCGGCAGGGGCTCCTACCCGGGTTAAATGTTGGGATATGCAATGTTTGTAGAAAGTTGGTGCTAGCTAAGATGATAACTTATCAAATTCCATGTGCATCACCGTGTCAACTTATCAAAATCCGTGAATTACACGTGCATGTTGATTTCCGTGTAGTGTTTAATTGCGAGAGGTAGAGGGACTTACTTGGCCGGCATATCGCAGCTGAGCGACCATGCTAACCGGAAAGTTGAATGACATTTCGCCGTAAAAGTGCTTCATGAGCAGCTGCGGAACGCGTGGCATCCAGGAAAGCTATCGTGCTGCATGCGGTTCGAGGGGTCAAATGCGTTGTGCAAGGGACCATCGAACTTCCTGAATGCAGCGTGGGCGTGGAAGTGCATCAGAAGCGAGTTAGTGAAAACGTGTTCGCCGCACTGGGAGGGTAAACAGGAAATACCGCTATATAGGTATACATAACATATATATATATATATATATATATATATATATATATATATATATATATATATGCCATTGGGACTTTACGACGCACCCAGCTACTGAGGCTATATGGCGTCGCCTGCCTCTCCCTGGCAGGAAGGACGGGCACCGCGGGGAATCGAACCCCGTACCTCTGGTTTCCCAGACGCGCAGTGGTTAACGCAGACGCCTTAACCACTACACTAGCGGCACCCCCTATACATATGCATATATATATATTATATATATATATATATATATATATATATATATATATATTTATTATGTGTGTATGTATGCATTGAACATTGGCAGAAAAACAGCATATAGCACCACGAAATGCGCCTTACTTTTACGTTCTTTACCTGTGCGTGCGTGTTATTGCCGGTAATTTTTTGGAAATGCGTCAATTAGGGCCGGCGAAAGCTGGAGGGCTGACTTGCTTTGCACCAGTTCAGACCTGTATGCACATTGATTTTAAGTCAGTTTGCAGTGCATGCGCCACTCATGCAGCGACATCCGTGTGAAAGTTGGTCCGCGCGTGTGGCGGCTTGCTGATGCGACTGGAACTGGTGGAGGGCTCCAAATTCGAGGAATTGGCCGGGACCACCGGCATCAGCAGCATTCAAGCTAGCGTTCAATTTGAATTTCAAGCTAGCGTTCAGACAAAAACGTGCAATCTAGCTTCTTCCTTCCATTGTCAAAGTAAGAGTGTTTGCCTTAGGACAGTATGGCAGATTTTACACTCGTTGTGACTTACCATTCGACTGTGTCATAGAGAGGACGCGTGATGTTGAGCTTAATCTTCCCTGGAGGCCTAATTCACCGAACGCTTATCTTTCTGGGAATCTAGTTAGAACAGTATCTATCTAGTATCTAATATCTATACTATAGTACTAAATCACTAGTTAGTACAGTATCATACCACGACATTTAGCAAATGTTGTTCATTTTTAAGACAAACGTGAGGCGTACTTCCCGCAGTTGACATGGATACATCACATACACTCCACATTCTTCGGAGATCAAACACAGCACAAAATTCCTGAAGCACCCCCCCCCCCCCCCCCCTCCCACAGCCGTACCTGCCACGGGTCTGTGCTCGCATCTGGTAGCTTAACTGCAGCCTGGTCTAAACCAAGGATTTGCCCGCTCGAAGCCACGAGAAAGATTTGTTTCAGATTACAGAAGAGAGCTCAGACATGGTGTTGAAGACATTGACACGCTGCGCCACGCCGTTTTAAAACTGAACCATGCAGACAGTTCATCTGCCGCTGTTCCCATATAAATGTTTGTTATTCACCGTAAGCACTTTCGAGAACTCCACCCTAGATTCGTCAGTAGATAAACACGGTAATATTGAGCAGGGAAACGCGTGCAACGTGCGATCGCAACACTGCCTTCCAGCACGGAGCAAAATGCTCATTTTTGTGAAGAAATGGTTCGCAAACGTTGTGTATTGTGAATGTTATGGCCTCAGGGAGCCGAACGGATTTTCACACGAGCAAATGGTTTGGAAAAATACCCCATATCATGTCAATGGTGTGCATATTACGCATGACGCAGTGAATTGGAACTGGTAAATGTGCTAGAGTCGTACATATTACCAGGCTCGACTGACAAATGATGTGCTTTGTTTGTGCTTATCCTAGTTCAAGCTCATTTTAGATTTGGTGCCGGATTAGGGCCCCAGTCTGAGGCTTCCTGCATGCAAATGGTTACTGACCGCTTCCTGGTCGACTGCCGGCTCACCTATGTGCATAAGAGCTATTTAGGTATAATAATATTGGGTGAGTTGTAGGTGGCATGTTTACCTACGGCATGCAGTTTGTTTCACTTTCCCCATCTCCCCTGTTTGCTGAGAGTTGGCATTCATCCATGAAAAGCCTAGACGCGTGCTAATCCATGACTTCCGCAAGATGCCGCGGCATGGTCTGCACACAGCCACTTCCGCAAGATGTCGCGTCATGGCCTGCAGTTTGACGGGCGTCATGTTATCGGATGGAGGAGGTGAAATGCTGTGACATTGCGGCGTCGCAAAAATATGTCACCTGATCATTCAATGTCTTAATTAAAGATTGCAGGAAAACGTCTGCAACGTTCCCCCATGTGGTGCTGCAAAACTTCCAGTTGATAAGACCAGGAGCAGTAGTTGCAACGATATAAGCCCGCCAAAATTGCGACGGGCCGGGACGGGCCAGACCGGTGAAGCTGCAAATTGTCCAATCAGGTGGCGCTGGTACGCCTGTCCCGCGACTTTGGTCGTAAAAACTGCAGCTTTTTTTAAGGGAGGAACCTTTTGGCCCCCCCCCCCCCCCCTCCCGCAGGCGGTCGCTGCTGGGAATAGTAAGGACCCGAGTGGTGCTGGGTCAATGACAATATCCGCCGTACATTCAGATTCGAATTAACTCGGCCGGACGTGACGCTGGGCGTCGTAGACTTGTACCTAGACCTCGGCCGGACGTGACGCTGGGCGACGTGGACCGGTGCCTAACCCGTGGCCGGATGTGACGTGGGGCGACGTGGACTTGCCTAACCTCGGCCGGACGTGACGCTGGGCGTCGTAGACTGTACCTAGACCTCGGCCGGACGTGACGCTGGGCGTCGTAGACGTACCTAGACCTCGGCCGGACGTGACGCTGGGCGTCGTAGACCTGTACGACTCGGCCGGACGTGACGCTGTGTAGACTTGTGGCGGACGTGACGGGCTGTGGACGTGTGAACCCGCGGCCAGATGTGACGTGGGGCGACGTGGACGTGTGCCTAGACCTCGGCCGGACGTAACGCGGGCGGTCCCGGTCACGGCACTGGTGCGGCTGGACATTCTCCCCCCCCCCCCCGGCGACGTCGCAGTGCCGGCGACCCTGGCGGCGCGCTGCGGCTGGGGTGCTGACGTTCCGCTCAACCCCCTCGACAGCGCTGTGAAAGCAACTGCCCTGTGAAGTCAGATTTCCTGCTTTGGTCGGAAGAAAGGCGAGAATCTTACCGTGCGTTCTGGTCACGACGCGCATGATTTGCACCAGGCTCACACAATGCGCGGCCTAAAACTGTGTAGTTTGTATTCGTAGTAAGATCGATATCGGTCAGTTCGCTCATCTTTAGTATTCGTTGGCGTTTAAACTATAGTAAGCTTTAAGCTCGATCGATGGGAAAGCGTGGCGTCGCATTTGTTGGCTGTCGCAAACGGGGACCTGCGTTTGAGGCAGCGAGCGATGGCAAATTGCATCATGTTGCGGTGGTTGATGGATGGGCGGCAGTTATGCTTACTTGGTTTTATACCACATACTGACACTAAAAACTCGAAAATAGACTAAGCAGAAAACGGGTTACACTCACTTCGATAAGATAAATACCCTGCGAGTGGTGTCATTCCCTGCCAGACGTGTTGATTTTCGTTGCAGCCCGTTGCCCTTTCTTGAGCAGATACAAGACGAGCGTGTACAACGTCGTGTCGTGAGTATAACGTCGGTCGGCAAACAAGCCTAACTGAGAGGTAAGAAAGAAACCCGATAAGTGAGAGTTTCTAGTTTGAATGTGAGCAGTGAATGGCTGACCGGTGGGGGCAACCCAGATATTACCCTGGCTTCGACTGACGAGGTCGATGACACCAGGCCACGAGGCCAGAAATAACACAGATATCTAGCCACATGACGCTGGTCAAGGGACAACGCGGCATCTCAAAGTGCCCGCGTATCAGATGGGCAGGCAAGACAAATTTGGCTGTAGACCAATGCTGTGTCCGCCCGCGTAATAGGAATATCATGTGCAAGAATGCCGACCCACGGTTCTTGTAGCAGGGTCTGAGCCCGGTTGTCCGACGCAACGATAGATAGCCCAACCCCAGACAGTACAAAGATTTCCCATAATCTGACGGACTTCCCCGCCCGGTTTTTCGTCCAGCCATGTCCCCTCGTGGCGTCTGGATGTTCTCGCACGTCACCGATGCGCCCCTGCACGCTCTGACTCCCGGAGCAGCACGGTAAACAGTCGGCTGGCCAGAGGCGCGCTGGCGCCAGCGCCGCCATCTCAGTGGGACCAGTCGCCCTCGCCGCGCCGGGCTTGTTGCTGTCGGTCTCCAGAATGTCAGCCCCGCTGCTGCTGCTGCTCGCGGCCGCCTGCCTGGTCGCACCGGCGGCGGCGTTCGTCAGCGCCGGATCGCGCCGGCCCGTCACCGACGTGCTCACAGAGAAGCTGTTCGCCGTGACCGACATGTTGACCTCGCTCGAGGCACATGTGAAGCAGCTGAACACGGCCAAGGTCGGTGTCGACTCGTTGGAGGTGCGCCTGCAGACGCTGGAGGGCGCGGTTGGCTCGGGCCTGAGCTCGCTGCGCGCCAGCGTAACCGGCGTGGCGGAGGCCGTGGCGCAGCTGGCTGCTGGACGGACCGGCGAGCACGAGCGCACGCGCGCCGCCTGCCAGGATAGTGTCAGCAGCCTGACGCAGCCGCTGGCCGGCCTGCAGACCAGCGCCGAGCGCACGCAGGAGCTGACGACGGCGGCGGAGCGGGCGCTGGGCGGACAACTGGAGAGCGCCGGCGAGCAGCTGCGCGGCATTGCCGGCCAGCTGGAGGAGCAGCGCCGGGGGCAGCGCCAGCAGCTGACCGCCACCACGCCCGCGCCCACGGCCGACCCCAGCAGCACGTTTTTTGGTCCGCCTGCTGCACGAGCTGAAGAAGCGGAATGGTCGTGGCCCTGGGCAGTAGGAATGGTGAGAAGTCGGCTTGATGGCTGCCGCGCTGCTAACGGCTGTCACACTGCTGCCATACTCTGCGTGCTGCAGAGCAGTGTTGTTTCTTGGATAGCTTTTAGCTGACGAGCTGTTTATGGGCGTCATGGTAGCTTGTAGGGCTGAGGTTCACAGCTAGCGCCAGTGATTGATGTTGAATTCTAACTTGGACCGTTCAAGCTGCCACGGTCGTTAGAGTCCATGATATATGCTCTATGATTTTGGACGGGCTAGCTTTTCATGCTGCTGGCTTGACTTATTTTCCAAAGCAGGTTACATACACGTAGTGTTTATTGCCTATCCTAATTTGAAACAGTCGTCTTCACATGTGTTCTGATCGCCGTTGTTCATATTGCCACCTCCTCGTCGCCTCTTTTGCCTCGTCGTTAATCAAGATTATTTGAATTACGCGGAGCAAGTCATTGAAAACATGTCGCGATCAAATGCCGCCTGCATTGCTGGCAATACATCTGGTACTTCCAAAGATGTAGGAGCATGTGCCTCACTGCCATGTGAAGTGTGTCGCCACGCAGCGGTAGTCTGCGAGATGCGCTGTTAAAGCTTTCTGCTGCGCTGCTGAAGCGCTCTGCTGCGGTCGCAGTTGCAGTCCTGGTCGTTAACAGCCGCAGCCCTGGACGGCACATACCTCGGACGCCTGGCACTTGTAAGTCTTTCAACGACACTATGGGCAGTTTTGAAGACTTGGCCTGATCTGGCCGCGACCCTGAATGATCCTGACGCCTCCACTGTCATCGCCTTACCGTGGCTTATGACATCACAGTTTTAAGATCGAATTCTATATATTTTGCCATGTTTGACCTGACCACTGCTCAAAGTTCAGAAGCAGTGACAACGTGCATGATATGGGTGTCCGCTTCACACATTCAGAAACACTACACGAGAGGATCTGGCGAACACAGGGCTAAAAATGCAACGCGAATTTTTTCACATTTTCGCAGCGCAGAGATAAGGGGACGATGGCGTTGCGAGCGAAGCCGCAGCCCGAGCGAAGCTTTGCAGCTTCCCGTAGTGGTGTTCATCCAGACCAGACCGACGGTTCACCACGGACTGCCCAGAAATGATCGGCAGATAAGACGCAACTTCATTTCAATGTGCAGATTTTCTTTGCATCGTCATGTATAAAACCATTGAATGGACTCGTGCTGCTGCGGCATGGATAAGCCGAGGTGGACGCTTGAGCATAAAACTATAATAGCATGATTCCAGGGGACAAACCGCAGCAAAGATGCTGGAATCCGTTCACCCTGAGACCATCCCAGGTTTAGAGAAAAATCAAGTTTTCACTAAATCTTTCTACTCATTTCGTCTTTGTCAAAAACAAAAGTACTTCAATACGAAAGTAGCCAACCCGATCAAGCACAAATGGCTGAGATCAAGTGTCAGCCAAACGACTTTGTCGCTGATGCGGACGTAAAATTTACCGCGTATATCAACAAAGAATTTGGTGTGCATTCTTCGTGATTTGACGAGATATTCAAAACGGTACCTTTATTTTTCTCACACGACGTCTGGAAGTTGGAGATCCCAGGGAAAAGTCCGCCCCCCCCCCCCACCTACCCCCCCTCCGGTGGGGGCGCAGTTTTCTCAGACCTCCGGCCGGGCGCGGGTTAACCCTGCATTGGATTCATCGCAACTTATAGAAAGGTCATTCTTCAGGAATTATTGGTGTCGATTTGTATTCCTCTGGGTGGGCCACCAGTCAACGCAATGCACAATGGACTCCATCAACGGGTTGTGGCAGTGATTTTCTCAACATCAAGCTCTCTCGCACGTGAATCAACATCAGCAACTCGGTGGTCAGGCGTTCTACTATCTAAGAATTATCTCATTGCAACTATTGCTTCGGTTGCCACACGGTAATTGCAGGCCGGTAAAAAAGGGAGGATCCGTGTACACCGTCGAACAGGCCCGGCTCTTCGCACGAACAAATGGAAAATCTCGTGCTCACGCGATATGCACTAAATGTACGTTAATCCATCTAACTCAATGCCACATCCAACGCACACCTTCACTGGAAATCAAATCTGGCCAATAAAGGGCACGCCAAGGTGAGACTGCACACAGATGCGCACATCACCATCCACCTCGTAAAGGCCGCCTCACCCTTTTGCCCTGTCCGGGGAAGACCACGGTGCGGAGTGCCTCGGTTCGTGGACACACACGCATCTCATGGGCTAGCGCAGGACTGTCAGCTCTCCAGACATCTGTCTCCAGTCAAGACGGGGAGAATTGGAGCAATAACATTCGACCAGTTTGTCCGATAAGATGTGGCGAAATAACACAACGTGCTGCAGTCTGTAGAACTTGGATGTCGCTGATTAATGTCAAAACACTCGGACAATAACGCAAAACTAGACCAAAATTGACACCGCATAGGTATTAACCGTGTAATTAGATATTCGCATCATGCGAAAATAACAGAAAAGGCCTAAGTAAACGCGGCACGAATGCGGAGCTTTAAAGGTATGACTAGCTCAGCCTGCTGCACTCAACTGGACGTGACATTCAAGTTTTCATTTTCTTTGTTCCTTTTACTTTTGAATCAGTTAGAAGAAACATTCTTTCCATTGATGCAATACAGCCCTCGCATTTGTAATGCCCTGCTTTCTAGGCGTCAGAAAGGTGAGGAGGGGCAAACGGAGAACAGTGAAGGTACACGCCTTGGAGCCGGTCCGCAGCGCGTCATGGTCAATTAGTAACGTGCTGCCCGTGATGATGCATTCCGCAGTGGCCTGGCCGAGCGGCTTGGCAACTTGCCTTGCCCTCTTGTCCTCGGTTTGCGGCTTGCCCTCTTGGTTCAGCGCTGATCAGAGGGCTTTTGGGCTGACATCGGTGATCCATGCAGCAGCCTCCGAGGCCGGCTGGTCTAGACCCTAGCGATCGCCGAAACTTTGGTGGACTCTGTCCCGCGCAGCTGCTCGTAACGGAGAGCGGGTCTGGTTTCTTCTCTGGACGCTAGATGGCCGGCCTCACGGATCGTCGCTGCACAACTGTTTTAGAGATAAACGGAGGGCATACCGACGCGCACATAAGAGGGCTGCCTGAGCCCGGCCGGACCGAGAGGTACGGCTTCTTGCCATAATGCGTCGCGGCGGGCGGCTCCGTGCCTTCTGGGCGCGCGTGGAGCAGTTGTATGTGGCATGCAGCGCTCGCGGTCATCGTTCACAGCCGATGATTCCACGTCTCACATTAGCTTCAGGCAGTTGCGAGCGTTTACGATAGAATAGTTTGTGGTAAAGCAGCATGTTGCCATGCTCAGAGCCGCTGCTGAGACCGGTCTTGGTCCTTCACACATGATGAGGGGCCATTTTCTACATTTTTAAGACATTTTAAGAGGGGCCTTCTCACTCACACTTCTCTCCTGATGAGATTGCTAGTCTTATTGCGCGTCTGGGACGCGATGCAGCGTGCGGGCGGGATTTCTGTATGGAGCTTCTCCAGCCCTTTCACAGACTTTGGCACGGCTCCTGGTCGCCTGCTTTTATGAACTGCGGGTATCGTCCAGCTTTTCCTGCAGGACAATTGTGCCCCTCGTCAAAAAACGTGAGTCTAGTCCTGATGTCTTAGATAATTATTGGTCGATTTCATTCGTCTCGGTGATTTTTAAACTAGCAGAATACTGCTCCTTAATGAGCTTAAGTCGTCCTTTGCGCCAAGAGAGTTCCACTTTGGGTTTGTAGAGGGAGGGAAGCACCTAAAGCCACCATCTGAGACTGCGCAGCGATATGTCAGTCAGGGCTCTCCGGCCTTTGGCGCTAACCTAGATAGTCGGAAATGCTTCACTAGTCTCTGAAATGCTGGTCCTCTGCTGCGTGCTGCTGAGCACCCGTCTGCGCTGAGCTGGCCTCTCCTGGCAGCCTGGTATTCATCTCTGTCACTCTGCGTCACGTTTGGCCGCCAGCGATCGCTGAGTTTCCCGCTTACTGCGCTAAGGTGCTTTCCGTTTGAATGAAGGGCCCTGCGCTCTTGTTGGGAGCCGTATCAGTTAACCTGCTCTGGCACACCCGATCATTTGGGGTCTCTCCATGTTGGATCCTGGGTACTTCTTATTTAAATGGAGGGCCATACGCTCTTGACAGGGGCCCTATATTTTAATCTGCCCGAGCACACTCAATCCTTGGGAGCCCTACATATTTTGTCGTAAGTATTTCTTATTTTGATGGGTGGTCCTGTGTTCTTGGCGGGCCCCATCTACTAAACTGCTCGGGCCGGTGGCGGATGCAAGAGGGGGGGGGGGGGGAGCGGCACGGGGCCACGTCTCTATGGACCATGCAGGGAGGACCTAAAGTTCGAAGAGGCCCATAACCGGCCGAACAGGCGCAGTTTTCTTGCAACAAAATTGGACACCTTTGAACCTACAGACGACTGAGAACGATTGCTGGCAAAAGTAAAGAGTTCATGAGCAGCGAAGTTACTTCATTCCTCGTTGAAAAGGTACTGCTGGGGGGGGGGGGGGGGGGGGATTTGAGGCTCATCACGCTGTCCAAAGGCCTTACGCTGCCGCCCGGGTCCTACATGCCCACTTGCAATCTGTCAATCTGATCCCTAAGGAGCTTTCCATGTTGCCTTTGATCTCTGCATTTCCTCGTAGGACCTAACGCTGCTGTTGGGACGCTATCTGCTTCCATGCCTGGGCACTCTTGATCGATCAGGTTTTCTTCCACGGACTTTTCCCATTCGCCCGAAATGCTCTGTGCGCTTTTCCGGGGCCCCATATGCCAGGGTACACTCAGCTGCTCAGGGCCCATTCATATAAGTCTCCGGTTCTTTCCATTTCTTTGAGGGCATTGTGCTGTTACTGTGGCCCTGATAAAGTAAGACATTGAGATACTCCATGCTCAGAGGCCCTCTGCTTTGATCGAAGGATCTTTCCCTTTGATCTCATTTGCGGAGGACTATTCAATCCTATCGAGGCTCTTTCTGTTGACATGCTCGTACACTCTTGATCGCACAGGGGTATCGATTCATGGTCTTGGATAATGCACCCTTGCCCAGAGGGTCTTGTACCTTGGGTGGGGCAACACACGTCAGCCAACCGGGGCACTACCGATCGTTTAGGGGCCCACGATGCTGGTATTGGGTTCTTTTTGCTTGCTCTGAGGATAGTATATTTGTTGATGAGAGCCACTTTGTTGGCCTCCTGCGGCACCCATAATCGCTCAGATTCCGTCCCAATTGCCCTTGGTGCCTTCGCCTTAGAGCAGTTGTCTAATACGCGCCGATAAATTTGTATACGCAATTGCCGAACGTAATCCTACATGTCGCCGACGTCGCATGTGTCATTTCCATTGGCCATTGAGTATGTGACATCATACTAGCGTGTGACGTTCTAAACATACTTTAAATGCTAGAATATGCTGCACTCCCTTATCACAAAGGAAAAATTATGCACTGGTCACCAGCCATCAGCTGATTACGCCGCCCAGCCGGCCAGCCATCAATGCATACGTTAGGAATCAAGTCCGTGCTTGGTTTTGATGGTCGTTGCAGCCAACTCAAGTTTATTTTGCCTGTTGTTTCGAAACACTTAACCTGAAAATCAAATCATGTAACATTATCTGTAGAAAATGAGTGAGCTTTATGTGTATGTATGCATAGCACGCCCAGCTATATAGGCCTGTGCACAGTAAAATGGGTTTCCGACCTCGTTAAATAAGTGAATAAGTAAATACATGTATACATACACACACACATACACACACAAACACACACACACACACACACACACACACACACACATATATATATATATATATATATATATATATATATATATATATATATATATATATACATATATGTTTATTTATTACATACAACCTGTTCTAAAATGTCACGAACAAGAGAAATAACTTTTGATACTTTTTGGAGGGGCCCCAAACTCCGGGGGGCCCACAATGTTGCGTGGCTCCTCCTTGACAAAATCTTGGATCCGCCCCTTCCACCAACACCAAAAAGTCGGCTCCGTGTTGCTCTGAGCACCGGTAACTCATTTCAAACGTGCTTCGACAACCATAAGAGAGACACTGGCCCTGGCCCTTATTCTGATGAAATAGAAAAGCAGCATTACAAATGAACACCAAAGCTGGCGCCCTGTTCTCCGAGTACTTCGTATGACGAAATAGTGAACCAGCATTACAAACGAATTCCACCAAAATTACCCGCATGTTCTCGAATACTTTCCCTTAGCCATAACGTTTGACTAAAAAAATGGTTTCAAATGATGGCACAATAATGGCATGCAAGAAGTCCTTATCAGGAATAGCGACTTAGCTCCGTTCTTCCAACGATTTAAGATGATGCAGTCTTTTTGCCACTACTAAAGCACGGCTACGACAAACATGGCCCACCAGCGGCGTATGCTTACGTATGTAACGCTTAGGGCGTTGACGCATGCCGCTTTCACGTTGTACGAGTTTCGCCTAGGTTTTGCCACCGCCAAGTGCCCAATCCGTACGTGTTGATCCCGGCCGGCTGTCTGGGCGCGGTGATTGACGCTGTTCGTGGCCGTTCTCACCTCTCATTTTCTCGCTGTGGGTATATTTTTGATGCGTTTTCCCCCGATGGGTTTGTAGAAGCTGACGTGCAAACTCGTAGCGTGTGGGTGATTAGCAACATATGGCGAGAGCATGTGTCTGCTACCGTGTGTAGCGCATTCCTGTCTTTTTCCGCCGTTCACAGTCGAAAGCCCGTGGTAGTGCATGGTAACGTTTGAACGAAATACAGGCTAGAGTGTTGAAGTTTGTGAGCTTGCTTTTTAAAGCTTGGTGGAATGGCCATTGCCAAGCTAAGTATGTTGTTTTAAGAAAACTCAAGGTCAGCAAGAAGCTTGAGTATTTTTGTGCTAAACGTTTTGGCAGCATTTTTAAATCCGTCAGGAATTTATGTTCCATTCTTTTTGGTTGCATGGCTATCTCACTTAGTGCAGTGCAGCACACTGGCTGAGTAAAAGGCCTCTCACCCATGTTTCCTGCAGATTATTACTGAAGCACACTGATCTTGCCATTTTTTAGTGATCAAGTGATCCAATACCATTGTCTGTCTATCCCATGCCATAACAGCTGGCATGGGTCATGTACATGACAGTTGATGGTTGTGTCACTTACATGACATTCAAGTGCCTACCTTGTTCAAATTTGGTGGTATGGTAAAAGCATGTCAGTTATCAAATTGTTATGCTGGTGTGATAAAGGTAGCCCAAGCAGCTACTGTGTGCATTTCTGTTTAATGTGTGGTTGAATGGTATAAGGTGTTATGTTAAACATCATCTCAGCTATAAACTACTCAAATAGATGAAAATTGTGATATTTGCTCATTATCTATGTCATTGGTCATGCTTAGCTAGCCAGCTAGCCATGCCTTTGTTTTGCACACTGCAGTACTTTTAGACATATTTATGTTTTAATCCATGTTGAAGTCAAGATTTGGCTGGGAAAACAGCTTGCAATGGAATGGATAAGAAACAAGCCAAAAGAAAAACATCATATGAATCATTAGTACTGGCCTCTTACAAGTTGCTACCCTTTTGCATGCTTTATGTTATATATAGCTTTAAGTTATTAATTGTTGGTCTTGATCCCTTTAAAAGCAAGGCAATCAGGGTAGGTACTGGCAGTTGTACTTTTAGATTTGCATACCTAACCTGATTAATCATAAGTGTAACAAACCATGATTGATCTATTTTTTTCTTTTATTAGCCTATATCTATTGATTTTATGGCACACAAGATAGACTGTGAGAGTGTCATTCAGCTATTGGCTTGGTTTGGGCCAGGTGACCTGGTTGAAGGTGGGAAAGCTTGTTGTCCTATACCATTCCACACAGATGCATGGATTTGCAGGGGCTGGTATCTGAGTGTGCAGGTTTCCTGGTCTAGTGCAGATTTATTCCATGGGATGCTTCTGCCTGACATGAGCATGTGCTGCAAAGTGTAGAATTTTCACAAAGGAACATCTGGGCTTACTGTGCCAGCGGTCATCATTGCAGGTCATCTGACATGAGACAACACTAGTATATCAGCAGCTCTGTGTTGTGGGGCACCCGCCGACTCTATGGGCACCCATTCTGTTGCATACCACCCACACTGCCTTTTCAGGATGGCGACAATGAAGGTGCAGCTGAGTCGACAGTGCCCGCCGTTTGGCGTGCTGCTGACGGCCGAGCACGTGCGCGCGCGCGGCGGCGCCGTCACGCTGGAGTGGGCTGGCCAGACGAGTGTGGTCGTGTCTGCCGACCTGACGCTGACGGCCCCTGCCACGGTGTGCCGCCATCTAGCGCGCCAGGCCGCCGACGCCGATCGCCTGTACGGCGCCACGCCGCTGGCGCGCACCACGGCCGACCACTGGCTGGCGTTCGGCGCGCGGCTGGCGGCCGGCGCCGGCGCGCGGCCGCAGCTGGTGGCGGCGCTGGCCGAGTTCGACGCGGTGCTGCTGACGCTGTCGTTCCTGGTCGGCGAGGCCGTCACGGTCGCCGACTACGCCGTGTGGGGCGTGCTGCACGGCAGCGGCCACTTCCAGGCGCTGCTAGCCGACGGCGCCGTGCCGGCCAACGTGCTGCGCTGGTACCGGCTCATCGCCGATCAGGCCGTCACCAAGGCGGCGCTGGCTGCGCTGCCCAGCGAGCTGCGCCCCCTGCCTGCCGCCGCGCCGCCGCCGGCCGCCGCCACCGCGCGCAAGGAGGAGGGCAAGTTCGTCGAGCTGCCCGGCGCCGAGATGGGCAAGGTGGTGGTGCGCTTCCCGCCGGAGGCGAGCGGCTTCCTGCACATCGGCCACGCCAAGGCGGCGCTGCTCAACCAACACTACCAGAAGATGTTCAAGGGGCAGCTTATCATGCGCTTCGACGACACGAACCCGCAGAAGGAGAAGGCTGACTTCGAGAAGGTGATCCTGGAGGACCTGCAGCTGCTGGACATCCACCCGGACCGCTTCACCCACTCGTCCGACCACTTCGACACCATGCTGGGCATGTGCGAGCGGCTGATCAAAGAGGGTCGCGCTTACGTTGACGACACGGGGCCGGAGCAGATGAAGACAGAGCGCGAGCAGATGGTGGAGAGCGTCAACCGCGGCAGCACGCCTGAGCGCAACCTGCAGCTGTGGCGCGAGATGCTGGCCGGCTCGGAGGTGGGGCAGCGCTGCTGCGTGCGCGCCAAGATCGACATGAAGTCGTTCAACGGCTGCATGCGCGACCCCACCATCTACCGGTGCAAGCCGGAGCCGCACGTGCGCACCGGCACCAAGTACAAGGCGTACCCGACGTACGACTTCTGTTGCCCGATCGTGGATAGTCTGGAGGGCGTGACGCACGCGCTGCGTACCACGGAGTACCACGACCGCGACGACCAGTACTTCTGGTTCATCGATGCGCTCGGCCTGCGCAAGCCGCACATCTACGAGTACAGCCGCCTGAACATGACCAACACGGTGCTGTCCAAGCGCAAGCTGACCTGGTTCGTCGACTCGGGCCTGGTGACCGGCTGGGACGACCCGCGCTTCCCCACCGTACGCGGCGTGCTGCGCCGCGGTATGACGGTGGAGGGCCTGCGCCAGTTCATCGTGGCGCAGGGCTCGTCGCGCGCCGTCGTCTTCATGGAGTGGGACAAGATCTGGGCGTTCAACAAGAAGGTGATCGACCCGGTGGCGCCGCGCTACACGGCCGTGCCGGCCGACGGCGCCGTGGCGGTGACTGTGCGTGGCGTCGCCGAGCAGGCCACGCAGGCGGCCAAGCACCCCAAGAACGCCGACGTCGGCACCAAGACCGTGTGGACGGCGCCGCGCGTGCTGATCGACGCCGCCGACGTGGACGTGCTGCGGGAGGGCCAGAACGCCACGTTCATCAACTGGGGCAACATCCGCATCGACCGGGTGGTGCGCGGCGCCGACGGCGTCTCGGTGGACGCCACACCGCAGCTGGACAACAAGGACTTCAAGAAGACGCCCAAGCTGACGTGGTTGGCCGACACGCCGCGCGCGCCGCTCGTGCCGGCCGTCTGCGTCTACTACGAGCACATCATTTCCAAGCCGGTGCTCGGGAAGGACGAGGACTTCAAGCAGTATATCGCGCGCCAGACGCGCTCCGAGGTGCTGATGCTGGGCGACCCGGAGCTGGCGCACGTGAAGCAGTCGGAGATCATTCAGCTGCAGCGGCTCGGCTTCTTCATCTGCGACTCGCCGTACCGGCCTGCCAGCGTGCACTCGGGTCGCGAGAGCCCGTGCGTGCTCATCTACATCCCGGATGGTCACTCTAAGGAGCCGACGTCCTCCGCGAAGGCGGCGAAGGCGGCCCCGGCCCAGAAGACGGGTGCGAGCCCGCCGGCAACCGCGCCGGCCAGCGCCAGTCAGCTGCACGAACGGATCGCCGCCCAGGGCGACAAGGTGCGTCAGCTTAAGACCGACAAGGCGGACAAGGTCGCAGTCGACGCCGAGGTGAAGACGCTGCTGGCGTTGAAGGCCGAGTTCAAGGCGGCCGCTGGCCAGGACTGGAAACCAGGGATGAAGATACCCGACGCGGCTGCGGCGACGGTGCCAGCTGACGCCAACGCTGCGTCCAACCTGGCGCAGAAGATCGCCGCCCAGGGCGACAAGGTGCGTCAGCTCAAGACTGACAAGGCGGACAAGGTCGCAGTCGAAGCCGAGGTAAAGACACTGCTGGCGTTGAAGGCCGAGTTTAAGGCGGCCACAGGCCAGGACTGGAAGCCGGGGATGAAAATACCAGAGGCGGCTGCGGCGACGCCGGCTGGTGCGAACGCGGCGGCCGACCTGAACCAGAAAATCGGCGCCCAGGGCGACAAGGTACGCCAACTGAAGACGGCCAAGGCTGACAAGGCTACTGTGGATGCCGACGAAGTGAAGACTCTGCTGGCGTTGAAGGTCGAGTTTAAAGCGGCTACTGGCCAGGACTGGAAACCGGGCGTCCAGTTACCGTCTGCGGCTCCTGCCGCCGCTCCTTCCGCCTCCGCCGGCGCCGCTGCCACCGCTCAGCTGAATCAGCGCATCATCGAACAAGGCGACAAGGTTGGAATCATCGCAGCTTGTAGTGCAGTGCTGCGTGTAGTCCCCGTTGTCCCAGCCCCAAATGCATGGAATATATATATATATATATATATATATATATATATATATATATATGTGTATATATATATGTATGTATATATATATATATATATATATATATATGTATATATATATATATATATATATATATATATATATATATATATACCAAAATGTTTGAGAAGAATGTCAAACTTACGGTATACGGTACATGTACGGTCCCTTCTTAGCATGTTTTCACTGTCCTGCTGCTGCTTGTCGCATACATAACACATGGTCTCCAAATTTGCACGTTATTTGTTTGTGCTCGACCTTGGCTTGATATGGCGCGATCGCGGTGTGAACGGGCTGTGTTTGGCATGGTTCTCAGTATCTGTGGGACCAACTGCACGTCACTGGCTTTTCTAGTTTTTCGGTCTTGCTCTTACTTGCGTAACCATGCCTCAAACGCACCCTTCCTTCATGCGTACGTCATCTGCATGCGCGTTCAATTTGGCTGCTTGCTCCATTTGTGTGTGTGTGTGTGTGTGTGTGTTGTTTGCGGCCGCTTAATGTCAGCATGCTTTGGACATGATTTTGAAAAGCGTCACTCAAAACGGTGTATTGAAGCTGGAGAGCCATGCTGATTGAGACAAAGTTGGCTGCAGCACGGCTTGACGCGCTGTGAGACTGATTGTCAAGACAAAGGCTGGCCTGTACGACGTCGTGTGATACGTGGAACGATCCGGGACTAACTCGACCGTCGAAGCTAGTCATGGCACGATGTGACTCGCTCCGGGACTGACCCGACCGTCGAAGCTAGCCATGGCACGCTGTGACTCGCTCCGGGACTGACCCGACCGTCGAAGCTAGCCATGGCTCGCTGTGACTCGCTCCGGGACTGACCCGACCGTCGAAGCTAGCCATGGCTCGCTGTGACTCGCTTCGGGACTGACTCGACCGTCGAAGTCACATCGTCGCCCATGGCACGATGTGACTCGCTCCGAGACTAACCCGACCGTCGAAGCTAGCCATGGCACGCTGTGACTCGCTCCGGGACTGACCCGACCGTCGAAGCTAGCCATGGCACGATGTGACTCGCTCCGGGACTGACCCGACCGTCGAGACTAACGGCCGTCTACAGCTGGGGACCTGTGCGCTGAGACGGACGGAGTGGAGAGGCAGCTTGCCACTGACAGCGTTAGTGGAGTGTGGTACTGAGCCCTGGCCCTGCCGGGAGGACATAAACCGACGCTCTACCGCGACGGCGCTCCGGAGGGCCGCACGTGTGCCCCGACCGACCAGCGATGCCTCGGCATGGCCTGGTCCAGCTATAGACTCGCCGGGCGGCCGCACGCCTGACTACTGGAGCTGCCGTCAGCACCTACGGTTCGGCTGTCACGCTGGGGCTGTGGCTCAGTTTCCCGGGACTCCCCGGTGCCGGGGTCAGCGCGGGCGGGTGACGACCGCCCGGTGCGGCGCGGGCGGCCGGCGCCGGGATGCGAAGGCTGACTGAACGCGCTGTGAGGCGGCCGCTGGGACTGATCGACTGAATCTGTGTTTCAGGTGCGGAAGCTCAAGGGCGACAAGGCGGACAAGAGCGCGATCGAGGCAGCCGTCAAGGAGCTGTTGGCGCTGAAGGCCGAGTTCAAGTCGTCTTGCGGACTGGACTGGAAGCCGGGCATGGCCCTGCCACCGGCCGCCACCGCCGCCGCCGCCGCCGTTGGGGCCGGCGACGCGGCCGACCTCGGCCAGAAGATCGCCGCCCAGGGCGACAAGGTGCGTCAGCTCAAGACGGCCAAGGCCGAGAAGGCTGCCATTGACGCTGAGGTGAAGACGCTGCTGGCGTTGAAGGCCGAGTTTAAGGCGGCCACCGGCCAGGACTGGAAGCCGGGCGCGACCACCGCACCGGCCGCGGCCGTGACCGCGGCCCCCGCTGCCTCCACGCCGCCGTCCGCCGCCGCCGAGGCGCTCCAGAAACAGGTGGAGGAGCAGGGCGGTAAGGTGCGCGAGCTCAAGGCTAAGAAGGCGGCCAAGGAGCTGGTGGACGCGGAGGTGAAGGTGCTGCTGAAGTTGAAGCAGGATTACAAGGAGCTAACCGGCCAGGAGGCAGGCGGCGCGCGCGCCTCTGGCGGCAAGAAGCCGGCGGAGAAGAAGCCGGCCAAGCAGGCGGCCAAACCCGCCGAGCCGGCTGTCGATGACGCTACTGCCAAGAAGCAGACCCGCCTCGGCATGGAGGCGAAGAAGAACGAGGCTCTGTCGGACTGGTATTCGCAGGTGATCACCAAGTCTGAGATGATCGAGTACTACGACGTTAGCGGCTGCTACATCCTGCGACCCTGGGCTTACGCTATCTGGGAGGCCATCAAGGACTTCTTCGACGGCGAGATTAAGAAACTCGGTGTTGAGAACTGCTACTTCCCGATCTTCGTCTCGCACGCTGCCCTGGAGAAGGAGAAGACGCACATCGCCGACTTCGCTCCGGAGGTCAGTGGTTCGGAACCCATGGGCCTTTCCCTGGCCCGCACCGCCGGCTGAGGAACATGGATTTCTGGCCCAACCGTGATATTGGGCGCACTGACATCTTTTTGGATATGCCAATTCACGTAGCATACATTTGCAAATGGTTCTTTAATCCTCAGTCCTTTAACCACACACGTAGCCTGAGTACCCTGTTGCGGTAGTGTATCGTGGGATTTTTTTAAGGTACCGTGTCCTGGAGTGGGAGGTCAGCCGTCCCATCGAAGGCATTTGAGGCCGTGTTGGCATGCCACCGGCGTTGTTGCCAGAGGACTGGATTTAGGAAGAGACTTATGCCGCTTTTTCACCGAACGAATATCAACGCCAACGGCCACAGCAGTCGCGAGCCTTGACGAGCACCGTAATCTAAACCCGTCTCATCTGCGTGTGCCTAGCTGACTCGCCATCGCCGCCTTCTACTTTGACCGACAATCGACTGTCACCGGTCTCTCCGATGCGCTTGACCACGCCGTCGTGCGCCCGTCCGATTGCGGCCGTCCTGACCGGACGCACCCGGCCGCAGGTGGCCTGGGTCACCAAGTCGGGCGACACAGAGCTGGCCGAGCCGATCGCCATCCGGCCGACCAGCGAGACCGTCATGTACCCGTCGTACGCACGCTGGATCCAGTCGCACCGCGACCTGCCGCTGCGGCTCAACCAGTGGTGCAACGTGGTGGTGAGTGGTGCTGCCGCGGCCTGACCCGGTCCGGTGGTGAGTGGTGCGTCCGCGGCCTGACACAGTCCGGGGTGAGTGGTGCTGCCGCGGCCTGACCTGGTCCGGCGGTGAGGGGTGCGTCCGCGGCCTGACAGTCCGGTGTTGAGTGGTGCTGCCGTGGCCTGACCCGGTCCGGTGGTGAGTGGTGCTGCCGTGGCCTGACACAGTCCGGTGGTGAGGGGTGCTGCCGTGGCCTGACCCGGTCCGGTGTTGAGGGGTGTTGCCCTGGCCTGACCCGGTCCGGTGGTGAGTGGTGCTGCCGTGGTCTGACCCGGTCCGGTGGCGTCTCCGTATTGGACTGCCGCCATGTGGCGTGCTCCCACTCACATTGCGGACCTTGCGCGACCATGCTGTCCACCGCGTAGGTGGACAGTGTGGCCAACGCGGATCCACAGTGCTGGTTAGCTTTTCTGTGCACGCGTCAGTCGCCACAAATTATGGTTATGGTCCCTGTAAAAGTACCCGTGGCACTTGGAAGGCGGCCGCCATCCACGCGCGGCCCACCGCCGAGACTGAGCGAGCTCGATGTTGTGCCGTTGCAGCGCTGGGAGTTCAAGCACCCGCAGCCGTTCCTGCGCACGCGCGAGTTCCTCTGGCAAGAGGGACACACGGCGTTCGCCACGCAGGAGGAGGCGGCCACCGAGGTGCTGCAGATCCTCGACCTGTACCGCCAGATCTACGAGCACCTGCTCGCCATCCCCGTCATCCCCGGACGGAAGACGGAGAAGGAGAAGTTTGCCGGTCAGTGACCGACCGCAGCCGGTCCGCTGAGCTGCGCCGCGTCCGTCTTTCGCGCATCCGTGGCCGGTAGTCTTAAGTCACCGGGACATGAAGAAGGATGCTGTTTGGGCGTCAGCGTCAGGTGTTGTGATCCGGATCTCGCCACACTGCTGGCGCGGCGTGCTAGTTCAAACGCCTTTCGGTTAGTGGAGGGCCTACGAAAAAGCCGCGTTTATAGCCGCAGTCTGGTCGACGGCGTTGTCGACGTTCAGCTGAGTAGTTTGATGTCATGCGGCTGTGGTGCCGGTGGTCCGCCGGCTAGTGCGTGTTCTCAGGTGGGTGTCCGCTGTGAACGCTGCGCGCCCCACCGCAGGCGGAGACTACACCACCACGGTGGAGGCGTACGTGGGCGCGAGCGGCCGGGCCATCCAGGGCGGCACCTCGCACCACCTGGGCCAGAACTTCAGCAAGATGTTCGACATCGTGTTCGAGCACCCTGAGACGCAGGAGAAGCAGCACGTGTTCCAGAACTCGTGGGGCCTGACCACGCGCACGCTGGGCGTCATGGTGATGGTGCACGGCGACGACCAGGGCCTGGTGCTGCCGCCGCGGGTGGCCAGCGTACAGGTGGGTCGCGGGGGACGCCGGCGAAAACGGCCGGAAAAGGCTATGTCCTTCGGGCTCACTAGCTGACACCTGTTTTTTTTTTACATCGACATGCGGCATGTTTGTGCAGGCGGAGGCGGCCACAAAATCTCACTCCCTGCCATCGAAAATGCTGCCGAAATGGTTATTGCACGAACTGTGCATGGCTAACTATCAATGCTTCATGAATATGAATGCCATCTGATGACCTGACGCCCCACCCACCGTACTGCCTGACGACCTAGCGCCCCACCCGCCGTACCATACAACCTGGTGCCCAACTCGCCGTGCCGCACGAATACCTGGCGCCCCACCCACCGCACCGCACGAGCACCTGGCGCCCAACCCACCGCACCGTCTGAGGACCTAGCGCCACCGTACCGCCTGACGACCTGGCACCCCACCCACTGTACCGTATGAGCACCTGGCACCCCAGCAACCGTACCGTACGAGAGAACCTGGCGCCCCACCCACTGTAGCACCCGAGGACCTGGCGCTCCGCCCGCCGGTGACTGTGGTCTCCACGACGACCAGCCGGCCGCGCGATCAAATTGAGAGAGATTCGAACTGGGCACCATCGGGTCAATGCTGTCGAAGAGCTTGCTCATTGACTGCCCTCCTCTCCCCATCACGCCTATCCTTCGTACCCTCCCCGTACTCACGCAGCCCGCAGAGATCTTAGCCCGAAATTTCGTCCACAACAGCCCGAATGGTCGCTTGCCGTCTCCAAAGTGACGTTTAGTCGAGATCAGGTCTAAATCGTTAAACGTTGCATGCCACTCGTCGGAAGATTTTGCTTTGTGTTTACATCATAGTGCTGTACCCATTCCTGGATGAAGGCTATTACACATGCTGCTCTCGCACAGACCGACTTGCATGCTGATCGAATGGCATATCTTGTTTGCGATGAGAAGTGAGGCGAATTTGTTATTCTTCAAACCTTGTTTGACTTGTTTCCGTCTCTTTCCACTGCACTGCTTCGATGTCGTTTGTTTCGTTCCCGCCGTCCGTGCCGCGCTCGCGAGGCCGTCGCCGCTCGCGCGCTCAGCTTCACGCCGCTGCCGCCAGGTGGTGGTCGTTCCGTGCGGCATCACAGCCAGCATGAAGGACGCGGACCGCGACCGGCTGCTGGCGGCCTGCGGCGAGTACGAGACCCAGCTGAAGGCGGCGGGCGTGCGGTGCCGCGCCGACCTGCGGCTCAACTACTCACCTGGCTGGAAGTTCAACCACTGGGAACTGAAAGGCGTGCCGCTGCGGCTCGAGCTGGGGCCGCGCGACCTGCGTCAAGGCGAGTACGTGCTCGTGCGCCGCGACACGGGCGCCAAGCAGACGCACAAGCGCGAGGCGCTCTCCAAGGAGGTGCCCGCCCACTTGGAGGTCATCCAGGCGGCCATGTTCGAGCGCGCCAAGCGCGAGCAGGACGAGCATGTGGTGGTATGCCACGACTTCACCGAGTTCTGCAGCAAGCTGGACAGCAAGTGCCTCATCCAGGCGCCTTACTGCGGCGAGATCAGCTGTGAGGAGAGGATCAAGAAGGACTCGGCCAGGTTAGTGCGCCTCTGGGCAGACTGGTGTGCTGAGGCTGAAGAGGCGGGAGAGGGAACTGACAAAATTGCCTTCTGTACAATGCTGTTTGATGGGCACTGACAAAATGCACCACAGGCACGAAATAACGCAGCTGAGCTGGTCCAAGCCAAATAGCTTTGGTTTTCCGACAACACCTGAAACAACTTGTCTATTTATGTGAAATGTCACGAGATCCAGGTGAGAAATAATAAATATATTGTGTCCAGTGGTGTGCCACAGCTATGCCATTCTGTACCATTCTTAAGTGGGCGGATACGACCTCGGATGACCCGTGCCGCACCGTTTGGACGTACGATGTCTGCTCTGCACGCCCCAGCCGAGCCGCGCCAGCTCGCCCTGACGTGTGCTCGTCTCGTGTTTCAGGGAGGAGGCTGTCGAGCCTGGCGCGCCCGCCATGGGTGCCAAGGGCCTCTGCACTCCGTTCACGCAGCCGCGAGAGCTGGCAGCCGATGCCCGCTGCATCTATCCCAGCTGCACCAACAAGCCAAAACACTATACGATGTTCGGCAGGAGCTACTAGCGCTGCAGGCGCGCCCGCAACACTGCCGGCCTCCGGCCAAAGGCCTACATGCTGTTGGTGCTCGCACGTGCGGGCTGTTACGGAATACACACAATTATGGTGACGCTGCGGTTTTGTCTGAACTGAAGAGAGCCTTCGTTGGTGGAAGCTGTTGAGGGTTGACAGTTGTTGTTGGAGCTGCGATGCTATCGGAGCTGAATGGAGCCTATTACTTTAGACCACTGAGGTCGGAGAATCTGCGTTGAAGCGCCGCAAGCAAAGCTGTGGGCGCAAAGCAAAATTCAGTCTACTTGGCCAACAGGATCGGGTGTGTTCAGAACGTGGCATCAGCGTTCATATGTCACGAAGTCATTTCTTCCCTTTATCGGTCTAGGAGCACGATTGGACGGCAGAAACTGGGCGACGTGCTCCCTGTGTACAGGGTCCCTGTGTGGCATCTTCCGCGGTATGTGCCTCATAGCTCTGAACTGGCCTGACTTGGAAATTGCTGGGCACAGGAGCCACATCCGTCAAAAATCATTGGGCTTGAACACACTTATATATCGTAAATTCATCGAGCCAATAACAAAGGCAACGAAGCGCCTCCCGTGAAACACCTCCCGAGGGATCTTTGGATGAAACCAGGTGGAATGGTCCCTTTGAGCGCTCTTTCACAAATTGCTTGCAAATTTCCTGAGCATTCGAGGCACGAAATATGTTCGATCATGGCGTATTGATGACAAAAGTGAAGCAGTGTTTGATGAACATTCCAGAATGCGTAGGCTTCTGACTAGTGCTGACACCTATACACTTGCTTGGTGATTTACCTAAATCTGAAGTTGATTTTGTTTACTTTGAAGCTTTGGTTAAATATATAAATTTTAAGTGAAAAAGAAATTCAAAAGTCTCCAAAAAGAAGCAAAAGCTATATAAAAAATAAGACTTTTCTTTCCACGCCGGAATCGCCCCACCAGCCGACGTTGCTTGAAATCATTACACCTAACATGAGTGCCGTAGCACATGTGCTTGCATGTAGGTGGCTCGTTTCGTAAACTGAGATGAGAGTCCCATGTTCCTTTTGCAAACAGCTGACTATGAATGCAGAACCATTTTTTTACATCATCTTAGTATATTCCATGAAATAATAATCATAGGTTGGCTTAAAATTATTAAATAATTTTATAAATAATTTTTTAGGGCTTATTTGAAGTTTTAAAACTGATTTTGTTTTGTTACTCGTTTTGTCAACAAAAAAACATGCGTAATCTCCCTGACTCAGCTGTTTGTTTCCTCTCGGGCAGATTTGGCTCAACCATAGCAAACCACTCCCGTCCCCGCGCTCTCGTGACCATCCCCGTGCCGCTCCCTATTGTATGATTGCCGAAGCCGGGCGTTGTGTCGGCGTGATCTCGAGCGCACCTGTTAGGATTGATTCATTGTCTCATCTAAGGTAAGGCCAATTTTTGTTTGAGTGTTGCCACGTTTTTTACTTCTGGTGTTTCGTGTTCCGTGGCAGGTCCCGTAATTCGTATTTGCCTGCGTTTAAGTATGGCACACCCTACGGGCGAGGGAACGGGTGGGGGGTGAGACGCAAGGTGGTCAGTAACATTAATATCGGCCTTATGGGGACTGGCAAGAGCGAGGTGAATGAATCAGCCCCTACCCCCTCATCCCCCACCCCCGCTCGCTCCAAGTCCTAACATGGGAGGACTGAAATTTGGCCACGATACCTTAAATGCTATTCTGGTTTCCCAGCCCATAACCCGTGGCAGACAGTGATGAGTTGGTGAGAAGACTAGGAAAAACATGATGACTAGGCAGGTTTTGGAAATTTGTGGTCAGCAGTTTTTGAACTGGGATCAATTAACATGTAACACATGTGCTGAGCTGGTCAGGTAAGCTACATTTGTGAGTGCAGCCTGGTTCTTATGAGCAGTGAGCCCAGGTCAGGACCAAGTTCTGCCGAATTTCTGAAGTTAGTTGTGTTGATTTTTTAGCTTGGTTATTTGCAATTTCCCTGATACTCCTGATGCCAACAATTTCATTGGGGTTGGCAGAGTATTGTGCATATTTGGGTAATAAGCTGTCCTATTTGGGCAACATTTTGTTAACCTTTTACACCCAGAAACAGTACCTCATGTCAGATTTGGTGAGTGGTCTCATAGTCATTTTGTACATAGAGTACATTGTGATGTCTTCAATACCTACTTTAATTTGGTATTTTTGGAGATAGATAGTTGTGATAATCTGTCCCAAATTGAAAGCTGTGACCTACCACAGCCCCCATAACTTATTGTTGATATCTGCCATGGCTTGCAGACTTCATCTGTGTGCTGAAATTTGTGATAGCTGGGCACCAACCTTTTGAGTGCTGTGATGTATTGTGTTACATGTGTGGTTTTTGGGAGGTATTGCTTATGTGCAGGGCATCTTTGCAATAGTGTGTAATCTTTGGAGTCCAGATCTGGGGTAGCTCATATTTCTTGTTGTATTTTGGGTCCAGTCTGCAAAAAATCCACCCTTTGTGCCTGATGTTTACACAAAATCCTTCCTGTGAACCTAGCACGGTCACGTGCGGTCAGGGTGTACTTTCCTACCTAACGTTAGAAAAAATCATTGTACACCATTCGTCGTGTTTAAGGCATGACATATCGTAAATAATCTCAAAACAGGTAGAATCATGCTCCTACCTTCGAATTTCAATAACTTTGATGGCGGGCCCCCGAGCGCCGCGAGCACCGCACCGCCTGGACTCCCCAGTGCCGTTTCCGCGTTGCCGTTGCGTAAATACAATATTTCTGCGTACCAGTACCAAGAACTGTACAAAATGTACCAGACCAAAGTAAACCATTCGTCATGTTTAAGGCAGGACAACCATAACCTAACTGTGAACCATAAAAATATTTACTTAACATAAACCATATTTACCATAGCCATATTTATCATATAAACCATATTAACTGCGAACCATACTATAAACTATAACTATAAACTATACTATATAAATCATACTATAACTATAAACCATATCTACTGCGAACCATAAAAATGTACAGGGACAAGGTAGCAAGAATCCATGAAAAAGAATCCATGAAATTTGATCCTCGACGCCAACGGGACCATGGGTTGCAGGGGGATTGGGTGGGGAATGTAAAGCAAAATGAGAACAGGGGGATTGGGTGGGGAATGTAAAGCAAAATGAGAACATGGCAGCTAAATAAAAGCTCACTATATGGCACCTATATATGGCATGGAACATGGATGCCAATGAGATGCTGGGTTGAAGGGGATTTAGGGTGGGGAGGTAAGGTTAGGTTAGGTTAGGTTAGGTTAGGTTAGGTTAGGTTAGGTTAGGTTAGGTTAGGTTAGGTTAGGTTAGGTTAGGTTAGGTTAGGTTAGGTTAGGTTAGGTTAGGTTAGGTTAGGTTAGGTTAGGCTAGGTTAGGTTAGGTTAGGATATGTTCTGGACTATTTTGGCCTGCATATTTCATAAATGTACCTAAACTCGATAAGAAACGATTTTGGTTGCTTTATTATTGTTACCTTGGTCCCATACATGTTTTATGGTTCTTGATAAGCAGAAATATTGTGCTTTCGCAACAACGTAGAAACGGCGCTTGGAAGTCGGGGCGGTGCGGGGCATGCGGCGCTCGGGAGCTCGCTATCGTATTTATTAAAATTCGAGGGTAGGAGCATGATTCTATCTGTTTTGAAATTATTTACGATATGTTCCGCCTTAAACACGACGAATGGTTTACCTTGGTCCTGTACATTTTGTAGAGTTCTTGGTAAGCAGAAATATTGTATTTACGCAACGGCGAAGCAGAAACGGCGCTGGGGAGTCCAGGCGGTGCGGTGCGCGCGGCGCTCGGGAGCTCGCCATCGAAGTTATTGAGATTCGAAGGTAGGAGCATGATTCTACCTGTTTTGAGATGATTTACGATATGTGCCGCCTTGAACACGACGAATGGTGTGCAATGATTTTTTCTAACATTAGGTAGGAAAGTACACCTACACCTCATGTGCAGTGCTTAGGTGGGGGCAACATGTGCCAGTTTTTGAATAATTTTTATTTGTAAAGGCCTCAAGAGTAATTTTGACTGGACAAATTTGCAAAGTTATGATCATAAACAACTTATGTGCTCAGTTTTACATTTGTGTGTGCTCATATTACTGAGATGCTGGTGCTGTACCATAAATGTTCAATACAGGGTACGTTTTGCAGTCTGTCATGAAGTCAGCATGCAAAAATCTATTCACTGCAAGACATTGAAATAGATTCTGTGTTCTGAGCTCAAAATTTGTGTGGGAAAATTTTTGCTTGAAATTTCCTTTGCAACATTATAAATCCCTTCAAAAATTATCTCTCTTTTGTTCTGAAATTGATGTTGACCATGCACCAAACTCTGGGGTCTTAGATTTATGACTTGCATATGCTGAGAAGGTCCTGGGCTGAGTTGGACATGTACTACATTTGACATGTTGAGGGTAGCTTGTTTTTTTTACAGTCTGGCCTTTTTTACAGTATGTCCTCAGAGCAGGTACTGAGTCAAGGTATAGGTTGGGCATAACTGGAATTCATGGTTTTGTGTATGGCTTCTTCCACTGATATTTTTACTAGCTGGTCATTGCTTCAGCTTCAAGTTCAAGGGAGGCTTGAATTATAGCCCAGCTTCAGCTCCATGCTCTCTTGAATTGCAGGCTTCAGCTTTGTCACAGTGGTAATATTTGCTGTATTTGTAAATTTGTGTTGCCTTAAACAACAGTTCTGCACAACCTATCACCCTAACATTCCACCATATTAAGGTTGAGACAGTATATGACTGAAAGCTCAAAACAGCCAGTCATTCTCAGGGCTTTTTCAAGATTTTATCTGAACCCTTGGAATAGATGGATCACTGGGATCAGAGCTCAGCCAAATGGTGCTTTTAGTGCGAGTCCTGACCCCTACTATCTGATCACACAATTTCATGGGAACAGCAGAATTTGGCTTTTGGGAAACAGAGCATCACATGGTCTATAGTAACACATTGGTTTAAACTTCAGTCAATGTACTTATAAGTAACTGGCCCTCAAACCACCAATGCTGTTAATCACAAAAATGTTTTTGTGCTGATGTCATCCAGTAACAACTGACAGTGACTTCCAAGCGGATTCTGCTGTTGTCATGATTACAGCAGTTGGGACTGTGGGTAAAAAGGGTAGTGGTATTATAAAGGATTCATAACATAATTTTGACTCAAAAAATAGAATTGATATATTTGTCATGTTGTCATGGTGCTGTAGTGGCACTACCTGGTGCTATTAGTAGATGAGACCAGTTCTGCAGTTTCACTAGGTTGTGCTTTTGAAATATGCCCCAAAGTTGGGACACTCCCCTTAAAGGGAGTGTTCTTTAAAGGGAGGAATAACAAGGCAACAGAATGCGGCTTCTCAAGTAGTGTTTTGCAAGTTGTACACTTTTTTCTCTATACACACATGTGTTGCGTGTTCTTTTACTTATTGTCATCTTTTCTAACATTATTAGGATTTGATAACCAGCACTTGGTCCTCATCTGAAATGCACACATATCTGAAAGCAAAACAATTTTATGCCGCATTCAAGCTCATATTGTCAGCCAACCAGCCAGTTTGTCTCACCATGATCTAAGCTTGCATACACAAGTATGATTGGTACTATGTTACAACATTGTTCAATCTTCATAGACTCATTGCTGGTCAATTTGAAGCTCAGTTGACAGCAGGTAACACAATACAGCCTGACAAAGGAAACTATGCAAACAGCTTGATATGGCACATTTGATCATCACAGCAATACCTTATTATAGTTCACATACACCTGAAGCCAGCCCTACTGACAACAGCACCAGGTTCCCCCGCGCTCGCGGCTTTGAACCTTGCCATGCGACTGCGTCTCGGACGCGCGCGGCTTGGAAGGCGTCTGAGGTCCGCTGGGTGACTGAATCTCCTCCGGCGACTGGGACGTGTCGGGGATCTGGTCCGGCGCCTCCCAGTGTTGCAGGATGTGTCCAGCCCGGTGGGCGACGTCCTCACCGGCGACGGCCGCGATCCGGCTCAAACACTGGCCCGTGTCCTGGCCCTGGATCCGCAGGGCGCACAGTTGCATCACCAGATGGGTCAGCACCGTGTCCTCGGGCAGCCGGCCCGCCACGTTCTCCGTCAGCTGCTCCAGCTTGGTCAGTTCCCCGTCATATATGAAGTCGCTCATCAGCTCCCGGTCGAACATCAAGTGTACGTGGTTGATGAAGAGGTAGATGGCGCCGAGCGCCGCCCGACACGACGTCAACCGCAGCAGCCGGCGCACGGGCGGTGGCGCCTCGCGCAGGTAGAGCGGCGCGCTGCTGAGGTCGTAGACCACGCGCTCAGACTCGGCATCGGAGAGCGTCAGTCCTAGGCACGTCATCCGGCCCGTCATCCGGAATGCAAAGAGATACAGCTTGTGCCGGAGGAAGAAGCCGATCATGTTGAAGAACGGCGTATAGCGGTGGTCTATGTCCTGCTGGCTGACGCCCTGGCCGAGCGTCTGCGCGTACGTGGCCACCAGGTGCGCCGGAAGAATGTTGACGATCCGAGGGTCGGTTTCGAACGGGAGACTGGCCGGGTTGGCGCGAGCCGCCGCCATGGACGTGGAGAGCTGGTCGAACGTCTGCATCAGTTCGCCGGTGAGCGGGTGCCCCTGCAGGCCGACATCCTGTATCAGTTGCACTATGCCCGCCTTGGCGCTGTCGGCTGACTGCAGCGCGGGCCCCGCACTACCTAACAGAGACGTCATGCTTTGTCCCATCGCCAACACCTTTTGGGCGGCGGCCATCAGAGCCACCTGTGGCGGGTCACCTCGACTCAGCTCGAACCTGAGCGTGGCGTCAATGAGACCGATGTTAAGTCGGGCCATTGTGACGGCACTGAGCATGGGCGGACTGCCGGGAATGCCCTCCGCTCCCTTGTTCTTCACGTCCCTGAGCAGCTCAAGCTGCGCGTGGTAAATGGTAAGCGCCGAAAGGGCCGGCGAGACCTGCTCCAGCGTCCCCGTCGCCTGCGTCGCATCCATTATCTGCGTCATCAGGCTCTGCTGCTGCGCCGCGCCCTCCCCCTGGACCATCGAGCCCAGCATGCCCTGCAGCACCTCCTGCTCGGCGGCGGTCAGCTGCTTGGTCGGTGGCGGCGGCCTGTTCTCCTGTGCGAGCGCCATCCGCAGCGCCTCCATGATCCAGGCGCTGGCGTCCGGCTCATTGGTGGTGAGGGAGGCGGCCGCGGCGAACATAATCCAGTCGTCGTGCACGGGGTGCGGGCCGCGCTCGGGCGCCAGCGCCTGCCAGGCGTCGCGCAGCAGGTCGACGCAGCGCGGCATGACGACCACGCCCCGGCGGATGTCGCTGCCCGCCTGGCGGATGAGGCTTACGGCGAGCGCCTCGGCGGCACCCTCGGCGCCGCCTGCCAGCAGCAGCTCGCGCAGCGGCGCGTGCAGCTCCGAGAGCGGCTCCGTCGATGAGAAGTCGAACCGGAACCGGTCGTCGATGCCGTAGATGTGCTTGCAGAGGCTGCTGCCGGATCTGACGCACCACGGCCAGCGCCCGGGTCACATCGGCCTCGCTGGCTTGACTGAGCAAGTTGTTGGCGGGTATGAAGAAGCTGGGGATGCAGTGTCGCTCCAGACAGCCTTGGATGCGGTCGAGCATGTTCAACGTGTGCTGGAAGATGTCGTGCTCCTCCCACTCGGTGACGTTCGCTGCCTCCAGTTCCCAGAACATGAGCATCTTGAGGTGATACGTGACCAGCACCTTGGGCTCCTTCATATACGCTTTCTGCATCATCTTGATGAGCACGTACACCTTTCTTTGGTTGGCGGTGAGCGACCGGGCCAGTCTCTTCTCGGGGTCTGAGAAGGAGATACGCCACTCGAGATCGCGCCGCTGGCTGCTGGCGTGCCCGGCGCCCACCAGCAGGCACCGACCGTTCTTGTCGATGTCCTCCCAGACATCGGGCGGTGGCCAGACCCGGCCGTGTAGTCGCTCCAGACACGCACGCAGCGCTGGCAGCTGCTCGGTCAGCGGCAGGGCCGGCACCAGGTCCTGGTCTTCGATGAAGCTGTACTCGCTGCGCTTGTCTTCGTGCTGCTCCTGCTGCACGTTGACGGCCGGCCCCTGTCGATGCACGAGGATGTCAGGGACCTTTTCCTTCAACTCCGCCACCACCCAGTCGTTGAAAACCATCGATGGACAGGTAGCTCACCACCCGGTCGTCCTCGTCCACAGACTTGCAGCACTGCGTCAGGTCGGTGATGTGGTCGGACACCTGCGACGGGGCGTCGACCACGACGCGTGTGTATCCCTCGTGACTGGCCTTTGACGTGTCCATGTAGAACAGACCGGCCCCGCGCCGCGGCGCCACGGCGAGCTTCTTCATCTCCACCATCATGTCCACGTCAGACACCTGGTAGAAGGGCGCGGTCCCGGCGGCCGCGCGCTCCGTGTACGGCGGCACGGCCAGCCGCTCGATGGACGAGCCGGTCACGTGGCAGCCGTACTGCTCCTGAATGTCGGGCAGCTTGTCCAGGCGCTCCTGCAGCAGCCCGGTGTGGGTGGGCACGTTTTTCTCCAGGTCGTAGACGGGCAGCAGGTAGCGCAGGGCCAGCGAGGACGGACCCAGCGCCAGGCCGCTGACGGCGTCCCGCCGCGTCTCGGCCAGGAAGCGGCCCAGCGGCACGCGCGCTAGACTCGCCTCCGTGTACATGACGGGGGTGAACTGCGACTCTTCCGGGAGATTTTGTAGGCCGCGCATCGTCACCGAGGTGAGGTTCTGCGCCACGCTCACTCGCCCGGCAGCGGGTTCGCATTCCTCGCGCCGTCACAACTGGCGCCGCACGACTGGCGCCGCCTCGCGCACCGGCGGCCGAGCTGCTCCGCTTATCGGCGCCGCGTTGCGTCACGATTGGCGGCGCGGCGGGAGACCGCCGACGCGTCTGCTCCGGAAAATCCAACTGACGTTGTCGTCCGTGAGTTCGTGGCGTTCTGCGCAGCGCGCTGGTGACTCATGGGTGTGTTGAAGGCCACGCGGGCCTTTGTTTGTTTGACCGCCACTTCCCCGCGCCCTCTCTCTACCGCTTCCCCGCGCCCTCTCTCTACCGCTTCCCCGCGCCCTCTCTCTACCGCTTCCCCTTCCTCCATCGCCCGCTTTGCCTCTTTTTTCTCGGTCTCATTCTTTTTCGTTAGCCCATCGCAAACGCTCACCACTAACTAGCCCTCCCTCCTCCACGCGCGCCCTCAAAATAGCCGATCGGAACCACCTCACACGACACGTCGCGCGCGGGACGATGGCAGACCGGAGAATTGCCAGCCGTGATCATGCAGATGATGCCATTAACTAAGGTGATGGAGCCTGAACCGTCTGGCAATCATGCCGTTTGGTTTGGTCAGTGCGTTAAAAGTCCGCCCGCCGCGCGAGATTAGCAGGCGTTGGTTTACGTTTGTAGGATTATTCGCGCAAACTCACAAATAACACTACAAGAGAATACGCAAATTTTGGGCGCAAAATTACCATTGCAGTTGACGCGCCCGAAAACACAAATGAACGACAACAAAAAGAATACGCAAGTTATATTGTTTTCTGCATGATCATGTACATTAATCAGATAATTATCTTTGTGACACCCTTCATTATATAGCTACTTTATTATCGTAATTGTTTGTTGGTTGCAAGGAACATATTTGTTGTTAGGCAGAGAAGTGTTCGGGGTGCATGCTGGTTGCCATTAAAAGGACAACGCCCGTGTAGTTATGGCCCCTCTACCCCGGCTTCGACCACTGAATAGTCTATTGGAGATCGCCTTCGGAAAGACGACGTGGTCGCTGTCTGTTTGACTACCGGCCATTTGTTAGTGAGCTGTAAACATTCAGCTCGCGTCCATCGTGCAATTAGCTTCAGATCTTCAGATGATACATCATATCAGATCTTCAAAGATGATAGCTTCAGATGACGGGCCGGTCGGTCCTGGTCGGGTCGTATACGTTGCAAACATCCTCATCGTTCGATCCAGTCCCACCCTGCCTGCAGTCTCGGTTGTAGCTAGAAGCTCGCCTCGCGCCGTGCCCATGTGTGTAACACGGAGGGTTGACGCGCTGCTCTGCCCCGCTGCTGCATCGGCGGGAGCGGATCCGCCGCCGGGCCGCCACCGACCGGCGTCTACCGATGCGCCCGCAGGTCCAGTAGCTGAACACAGTCGCCATGGCCAGCGTACAGAGCCTGCTCAGTCTGCCCGGAGAACGGACCACCGGCCAGACTGTGCGCACACAGAACGGTGAGGCCACAAACCTGGGACGCGGCGCGGACGGGGAGGAGTGATCCAGACGGGTGGGTCCGGGGCTGGTGGTGGACCCGGCTGAATTCTTGCTGGGGCTTGTGGAGCGGTCATTGCCAGAGTTGCGCCGCGAGTGACCTGTCCCGTGCTCGTGGACGTACCTTAACGCTTACGTCGTGGGTCTGGGTGTCTTGCCGTAGCCAACAGAAATTCTCAGAATTCCGCAAGCGGGCAAAGAAAGGTAAACTAAAATAGCACACCTTACGGGAATGTTGCGAGTCTTCAGCCTATAATCGGTCCAGTCAACGGGCGCATGACATAGGATCTCGTTGGCATGCATTACTACAAGATCACGTAAAACACCCGCGGAGAAATTTGTCAAGGTTGAGCTCAGGCCACGTTTCTAACATCGCTTCACCTGGCCCACGTGTCGGTGTTGCATTGTCGGCTGGCCCGAACCTGGTCGTGTGTTTGAGTTGGCCGCACCAAGCACAGTCCTACCACACCTGTTGCTACTCGTGGCTCACCCGTCTGTTGTAACGACCAGCCGCTGGCCGGCGGTGTCACGCCTGACGCCCACCCGAGCTCGGTCACCGGACTGGCCGGGACGGCGGACTGCCGCCGCCCGCGCGGGCGCGTGAGGGTGCGGCGCCGGCCTGGGCGGCGCGCCGCTGACCGGCCGGACGGCGAACTGCCGCCGCCCGCGCGGGGCGCGTGAGGGCGCGGCGCCGGCCTGGGCGGCGCGCCTCTGACCGGCCGCGGCCGACCCCGCCCGACAGTGATGGCCGCCCAGTCGATCGCCAACATCGTCAAGTCTTCGCTGGGCCCCGTCGGCCTGGACAAGATGCTGGTGGACGACATCGGCGACGTCACCATCACCAACGACGGCGCCACGATCCTACAGCTGCTGGAGGTGGAGCACCCGGCTGCCAAGGTGCTAGTCGAGCTGGCCCAGCTCCAGGACGAGGAGGTCGGCGACGGCACCACCAGCGTGGTACGTTCCCCGTCGCGCCGGCCGGCGATGTCGGCGGAGATTGGTGAACGTGTTTCCCTGCTTGTTTTTCGCTTTGTCTCGGTGCGGGTTAACCGCGTGTCATGTCACCATGCGCGAGGATGCAAGCTGACAGCTGACGAACCGGTTCGGCCGTGGTTTTGCAGCTGCTGCGATTACGGGGAAGTCGAGTTTGTGTCAGGGGTTGAGGTGTCGTGGTTTATGGCGTCAGCTGCTGCGATTTCGGGGAAGTCGGGTTTGTGTCAGCGGTTGAGATGCCGTGGTTTATGGCGTCAGTAATGCTGTGGTCGAGGAGGGAGGTGTCGTCGGCGATACAGGCGTGTGTGTGTACTAACATCTGAGTGGTTTAAATATGTACGAGTAATTATAGCCCCTAGCAGCAACCTGTGGAGATCCTGTAAAGATGTTTCTGATGGTTTATGATGTGCCGCGGTTGACTGCGCTGGGCCGTGTGGCATGGATGTCATTTGAACAATTTTGACATATTGTCTATGATTTTGTTCTGGTGCATGCATTTAGCTAGAAATTCAGCATGCAAGACAGCATGAAAACGCAGATTACTAGCCGTAGAGTGGCTACATTTTCCAAGCGCAGAAGAACTGTGACCCGTTCATTGGACCAATGTGCTCAGTGTCACGTGGTCGGGGAATTTAGTGCCCACTCGTGACTTGCCGCTCACAGTTAATACTCGTTAAATTGGGCCTCGTGTACTATCAGCTGTTGGACGCTACCGCGCCATTGATGCTTGGCTTGTTGGCAGACGCGGTGCTTAATACCATCGGCATGCAAGCGTCACCGAATACCAATCGTGCGCAAAGCCTTTCAGGTCTCGCATGATGACCTTGTATCTGACCCCTGGTGGAGAGTGTTTACTGCGCGTCAAATGTCCAGGCGCTGCCAATACCGCACCCGTGGGACGTCTGCAGCCTCCTGCCGCCGCGCCGAACTCGGGATCGCCGTGACGGTGACGGGTGTCTGACGGCACCCGGGTCTGTGACGTCACGATCACCCCGCCGCAGGTGATCCTGGCCGCGGAGCTGCTGAAGAACGCCGACGAGCTGGTCCAGCAGAAGATCCACCCCACCTCCGTCATCGCCGGCTACCGGCTCGCCTGCAAGTACGTGTGCCGGGGCGGGGGAGACGCGTCGGTCAGGATGACCGCGGTCCCGGCTCCCGCGCAGCCGAGCCGTCGTTCTCCGTTATGCGGCGAGAGTTCTCAGCGTGACGTGTGTAGAGACTGGTGTCCACCCGGACGTCCTTCGTCACCGCCTGGGTAGCGTACTAGCTGGACTCAGAGCACAGCTGGCTGATGACGACTGCCAGCCAGCCGGCAGCGAGCCGTCTGTGCCGGCTGCTTGAGGCCCACAGATGCCCCGGTCGGGGCGGCCGTGACGTCACCGTCTCCTGACGCCCCCCCCCCCCCCCCTCTGGTCCGCAGGGAGGCGTGCAAGTACATTACCAGCCAGCTGGCCATGCCGATCGCCCAGCTGGACAGCCAGAGCATCGTCAACGCCGCACAGACGTCCATGTCGAGCAAGATCATCGGCGCCGACTCAGAGTTCTTCTCGCGCATGGTGGTGGATGCGGCGCAGGCGGTGCGCATCAGCGATGGCAAAGGCGGCCACCGCTACCCCATCAAGGCGGTGAACGTGCTGAAGGCGCACGGCAAGTCGGCGCGCGAGTCGGTGCTCGTGTCCGGCTACGCCCTCAACTGCACGGTGGCCTCGCAGGCGATGGTGAAGCGGGTGGTCAACGCCAAGATCGCCTGTCTCGACTTCTCGCTGCAGAAGACCAAGATGAAGATGGGCGTGCAGGTGAGTGCGGGCCCCGCCGGTGGGACGCTGGCGCGAGACGGCAGTTCCTGGCAGGGCGACGGAGGACGGTTGGCGGAGTATGGGCCGCGCGCGCGCGCGGTGCCACGTCGGGCGCTGTCGCCGTGGACAGTCCAGCGGCAGAGAGCGGGACAGTGACAGGCAGTGAGAGCGCGCGGAGTCGTGCTCGCTGGGCGATGCTTTGACGCCGTGGGCTGTAATGACACTGAACCTGGGGGGAGAAGGGGGACCGGCAGGCAGCGAGCCCGGAATGGTCGGACGGGGGGGAGGGGGGGGGGGGGGGGCTCAGTCTCATAGAATATGAGTCTGACATACGCTAGCATGCTATCATGTTCATGCCTGCTGTTTAGAGGTGTTGCGTGCTGTCCGAAAGGAGTTCAGCTTTAGCGCCGTGTTGTTGCCAGTCAGCTTTAGTTAGGGATTCCAATGGCGCCAATGTGTTAGGGGCTATCGAGTTCTCACCGAAGATTCAGCCGACGCTTTTAAACAGTATTTTCGTCACACAAGCGGTTATCAGCCAACACTCACACAGCCTGTTCCCCAGTCCGGCGTCTGAAATGCACTTAAACGCACTGAACACGTCCTGATGGGGCTGGTTATCACCTGCGTCGTCAAAACTGGCTCCAACAGCCGACTGGATCTCCATCAGCTGATGGCGTGAATCAACGGCGCTTTTGTTCCCTCTGCTCGCCTCCCAATTAAGGGCGTTAAACGAACGCCCGTGGACAGAAAGAACGCTATGCTGGCGTGAGCGTCTGCCTGGCGCCTGTAACGTCGGCCGGCCGCCGCCAGGTGCTGGTCACCGACCCGGAGGAGCTGGAGCGCATTCGGCTGAGGGAGTCGGACATCACCAAGGAGCGCATCCAGAAGATCGTGTCGGCCGGCGCCAACGTGGTGCTCACCACGGGAGGCATCGACGATCTCTGCCTGAAGGTACGCGCGCCGGCGCCTCGTGCCGCCACACTTGGTGGTCTGCAGGCCGGCTGGCTGTCGGGGGCCGTCACGGTCGCCGCAGCGCCTGCTTTAAGTCTGGCTGGCCCCACGTGCTGTGTGCGGTGTGTGGAGCTGTCGTAATGTTGGAGGTCACGCGTCTCGCAGACGCGCGGTGTCGGCTCGTGACGCGCCGTGTTGGCCGTCGGGCCGGGCGGCGTTTCGCTACCGGAGCTCGTGCTGTTGTGATGTGAGGGTGAGAGTGTGTGTGGGGGTGTGTGTGGGGAGGGGATTGGGATGTGTCGGGAAAACTGCGCAATTTGTGGACGTGCTGTCTGCAGCGGAACATAAATCGGGGGGGGGGGGGGGAAGGGGGTGACAAAAGAACTCTCGCGTACGAGAAGGAATGCTGCCAAGTCTGGAGCGGCGCATGCGCCGAGTTCTCATCTGCCGCCAGTCCTTGATCGACAGGGAACGGACGGAGTCCGTGTTGTGTCCGTTGGATTTAGGGTCTGCGCTGTTTGTGTGCGAGTGACGGCATGCTGCTCTTGAGGTGTTGTGCAGTGGTGGCAGTCATGTGCTGTGTTCGGGGTCCATGGCTGCTATGACTTGTGCTACCAGCGGTTGCTGTTCTGTCTCCCGCGCGCCGTGTCTGGCTGCCATGGTCGGCCACTCGGGTGCCTGAGCGCCGCGGTCGGTACCGCGCGCTCTACCAACCCCCTCTGGTGCTCGCGGTCGGCCACTCGGGTGCCAGAGGGTCGCGGCCGGTGCCGCGCGGTCGGCCACTCGGGTGCCAGAGGGTCGCGGCCGGTACCGCGCGCTCTACCAACCCCCTCTGGCGCTCGCGGTCGGCCACTCGGGTGCCAGAGGGTCGCGGCCGGTACCGCGCGCTCTGCCAACCCCCTCTGGCGCTCGCGGTCGGCCACTCGGGTGCCAGAGGGTCGCGGCCGGTACCGCGCGCTCTACCAACCCCCTCTGGTGCTCGCGGTCGGCCACTCGGGTGCCAGAGGGTCGCGGCCGGTACCGCGCGCTCTACCAACCCCCTCTGGTGCTCGCGGTCGGCCACTCGGGTGCCAGAGGGTCGCGGCCGGTGCCGCGCGCTCTGCCAACCCCCTCTGGTGCTCGCGGTCGGCCGCTCGGGTGCCAGAGGGTCGCGCCCCGCCGCCCGCCGCCACGCTGACGTCCGACGCGCGCCGTTTCAGTACTTCGTGGAGGCGGGCGCGATGGCGGTGCGTCGCTGCAAGAAGCAGGACCTGAAGCGGATCGCCAAGGCCACCGGCGCCCAGTTCGTCACGTCGTTGGCCAACATGGAAGGTGGGTGGGCGGCCGCCGCGTGAGGCTCGCTGCCGGGGACGCCGTCCGCAGCCGGCGGCAGCACTCGTCTCAGCCGAGGCCGCGCGGGGGACGAGGTGATGCGTGCAGTGCAGTGCGGGAACACTGGCCAGCCTGTGTGCAGTTCAGTCCGATGCCTCGGCCTGTCTTGGTGATGATCACTGCGGCGCTGATCACTCGGTGAGGGTCACTGCAGGAAGGTGGAGACACCGGTGAGACCTGGCGTACGGTCTGCTGGCCAGACGTGGCTGGATAATGTGCTGGGGTGTGGGGCGGGGGGAGGGGGACACTAGTGAGACCTGGCGGACGGTCTGCTGGCCAGACGTGGCTGGATGCCGTGCTGGGGTGTGGGGCGGGGGAGGGGGACTCTAGTGAGACCTGACAGACGGTCTGCTGGCCAGGCGAGGAGAGCTTCGACGCGTCGGCGCTTGGCGACGCGGCTGAGGTGGTCCAGGAGCGCGTCTCCGACGACGAGCTGATACTCATCAAGGGGTGAGTACCGTGCCGCCGGTCCAGCGACGCGAGTCCATCGCTTGTCTGGGGTGTCCTCGTGTCGAGCGTCGGAGGTGCTGTGCTCGCTTCCTAAACTAAATGTCGGTGGATTGAGGAATTAATTTGTACAGTCTCAAGAGCGCAAACATGGACAGAACGTCTCGCCTGTTCCCCTGGATTGCTTCGTTGCAAATGGTGTGCGCGCCGCGGCGTGTCTTTGGCCATTTTAGCTCACTGAGGCGGCAGCGACCGTGTCAGCGTCCTTTTGCTCTCCCAAATGTCGGACATCTCGCCGAGCATCGCTGGTGTCTGTCGTACACGTCTTCCCCTATCGCTATCCTGCCTCCTGTGTTATTTTGTTCGTGGGAGGCATGGCAGCGGCCATCGTAGCGCGCGTATACCTGGGCTGTCAGGTCCTGATCAGGAGACGCTCCACATACACCACCACGCCGCGGTGGCGCGGCACCCGCGCCGGGCCCGGACGTGGGTCACCAGACATGGCAGGCTGGCGGCGACGCAGCGTCAGAGAGTGTATTCGAGGTCACATGTGTTGGGCGGGCTGAGCCTGGGGCAGACTCGGCTCACAAGCTGGGGCTGCCCACGGCGGCGGCAGACTCAGCTCACAAGCTGGGGCTGCCCACGGCGGCGGCAGACTCGGCTCACAAGCTGGGGCTGCCCACGGCGGCGGCAGACTCGGCTCACAAGCTGGGGCTGCCCACGGCGGCGGCAGACTCAGCTCACAAGCTGGGGCTGCCCACGGCGGCGGCAGACTCGGCTCACAAGCTGGGGCTGCCCACGGCGGCGGCAGACTCGGCTCACTAGCTGGGGCTGCCCACGGCGGCGGCAGACTCGGCTCACAAGCTGGGGCTGCCCACGGCGGCGGCAGACTCGGCTCACAAGCTGGGCTGCCCACGGCGGCGGCAGAGTCGCTCACAGACTGGCGCCACCCACGGCGGCGGCAGCTGGGCGTAACCACAACACACACGGCTAATCCAACTGGCCAGGCGCGAGAGGTGCCGTCACTCAATACCCTGCTAGGTACGCCACGCACTCGGCAGGATCGCGATGGCGCGTCCTCTGACCGCTGCTGGTGGGCGTTGTCCCGACACCTGTGGCCCGTCTCGGTAATCAATAGTTCGCGCACTATCCACTTCACTAAGGTTGCTGAGCGAGTTGCCCAGCGCGCAGTTCACGTTGACTCACTCTACCAGCGGTGCCCAAGGTCCAGTCCACGTCGGCTCACTGCCCGTGGAGTGCCCAGCGTGTGGTCCACGTTGGCTCACTCTCAAGAGTGCCCGACGCATGTTCTCCGTCTGGTCAATCACGATTCCCCGGCGTATCGCGGGCGTCGGCCCGTGCTTCCGTGAAGCTCTCGGCGTTTTGTCCGCGTGCGCTGATTTGCTCTGGCAGCGCGTGACGGTGAACTCCGGGTCAGCTTACTTGCCCAGGCCGGAGCCAGATGCCTGCTTGCACCTCCCCAGAGGATCCAGCTTTTGACCCTGTCGGTGATTAAACCGGTTAAAACACTGGGCAGCATCGTGCGCTCAGATGAAGTCATTATTCGTAGGCTATGAATGCTGTTGTCAGTTGGTAACCCTGGCTTCTCACGCTAGGGCCAGTTAATTCCTAAGTTGTATGTCACATGCAAAACGAGCCAATGCACGACTTAAGCCTGCCCACGAGTCGGCCCTTTATTCGGGTGAATGCTGAAGTGTTCATGTGCTGTGGGCAATTCTCTCGCAGCTGATCTGCGTCATTTGAAATGGACACGTGTGATAAGAAATAAAAACGAACATTACTAATGGCGACAAGGCCCAATGTCGGTGACCACTTAGTGCCGTGATGATCAAACCACAAGGTATCGCTCCTGTACACCACAGGCCCGTATATCCGCCTGTGTTTAATTCATGTTATCGGCCACATGGAGTTACAGTTTTCGCCACGACAGGCCGCTGCCGTTGGCGCGCGTCTGGCGCGGCGTCACCAGCGGCGGCAGCGACGGGGCGCGGGCGGCACCGCCGCGGCCTGTGAGCCGACGACGGGTGCGTGACTAGCACTGACGGCGGGCATGTGGGCGCGCACCTCGGCGACACGGGACTGCGCGGCGCCGCGCCCGTCGACTCCGGCAGCACCCTGAAACACGGCGCCGTCCGGTTAGCGGCCGCCACGGGACCTCTTGGGACCTAGGACGGCACCGGGACAGGCCGGTGCGCCGCTTGGGGGGGGGAGGGGGGGGATGACATCGGTCTTCGGGTAGGTCCGATAAGTGTGTGAACAAATGCCCGCGTCACGGATTGTTTTTGCAACCCGTCACAGGATGGCATCCCCTTCTACGGCAACGTGCGATGGAACGGTACGCTTCTGACGTACGGGCGCCTTGATGTCTGACGACGTCGGCACCGATGAACTATTAGAGTAGTCCGTCTTGCAACGACTCTCAGTTTGTGGCTGCCATGCTCAGCCTTGGGGCATTCTCTGACGGCACGAAGTGAGTTGAGGGCTGAATGAACGGTCAGGGAAGGTTGAGTTAGGAGTTTTAGCTGACAAACAATTGGGACCAAATGCGATTCGTGCCGCAGCTCCTTTCGCACGTCATGGATTTAAGCCTATATGGGTTAAGGTGAATGCTGTTTCTCAGAGATCAAGAAGCCGTAAGTGCTTCCAAACGACACCATGTTGCCATATCCGTAGTGCATGCTATCTACACGGCGAGGTTCTCTTGAAGTCTGAAACGCTGTGACGTCACCTGGCTGCCAGGCCTGAATCCCGCTTCAAAGGGTTAGCAGTCTCCCCAAGTTTGGCTGTGCCGGCGTGGTTGATTTCCCGTGGGTGTCGCCGGCCGAGCCA